GATGAAACCACAAAACAGTTCTGATATCTAAATGAATTTTGCAAGTAACAAAACTAATAAGAATTTACAAGCAAACCATCTGTTAAAATATTGCAAAAGACGCATAACATGAAGAGCAAGGGAATCATGACAGGCAATATAAATTTCATTAGTTACTTACAAACTATTCCTACATAAGATAAATAGTTTAAACCAATTCATATTTCAAATTATCCAATCTCTATAAGCCTCCAAACTAGATAGTAGATACTACTTTACAATACCAATCAAATTTAGTAATATGTTCTTCAATTATGCCTTATTTAATGAGATTATCCAAGGATAGACTCATAGACCCTGCCTTTTCTAATGACAAGAATCCAACAGAGGCTGTAAGAGGATAGGTTTCACCTTACCTTGACCTTGAGTAGGAGAAGGAAAAAGATTAGTTAGAGATTAAACTTGCTCTTTCCTACGCATAACAATCAGATGCAAGAAGAATGATTAGCAAAGCACGTAAAGTTACTTTGTCGTAAGTACGTGAAGGCAGGGACCAGGAACCAACAGATGTGCAGTGATTGGAGTAGAGAAGAGGCATGAAACAGAATGTAGATTTTGTATCATTTGCCAAAGTTCACTTGATTGTAGCATGAGTCTTTTGCACGTGATACGATCCGCACATGCATGCAAACTTTTTCTGTAATTGCATATGATATACAATTCCACGCATAAAAAATTAACTAACTGCGCGCAAATTAATAGGGAGACATGCAGTCGGCTGCAATGCATTTCACATTATAATAGTAGAAGAATTCACGTTATGATAATAGAAGAAGATAGAGAATACGGTTATTAAATCATTCTCAATGCTCTACCAAGTATACTTGAATAGAATGCAATTAAGTGGAAGGTTTTGACACTCAAATTTGATTAATTTAGTGAAGACTTCAATATTCCAGTTTGTTACCTTTTCCTTAATTCCCCAGGCTTCCACGTTCTTGATGAATTATAATTTCCACATTCTCTAAAATGATTATGAAGCCCGACAGTACAACCATTCAAAAAATGATTGCAGTATCAACCGTTGGGCTAATGGAACACAGAATATAATACTTTTCGAAATTTACAGGAGGTTGATATGCACTGCTCCTCTTGATATGCAGATATTTGTGTAATAACTGCACCTAGAACCTAAAAAAATAAGAAGCAATAAGATGAAATTGACACCATTTTCTCTTTTAGTGAATTAATACAATCTCACGATTCAAACAAACACCTTTCACCAAAATATGAAAACACGCGTTATCACGATTAATATCCATATCCTGATGGGCTTGAAGTGCCATTGTCAGGAGAGGAGTCGGTACCTTACGGCTACAACGAAAGAAAGGGGTTAAGGTACCGCTAAGTTCTTCCTCTCAGAGTGAGATGAGCCTTTGATCTATTCCATAACACACAAATTGAAAAGTAATCTAGTTAACATAATCAAAATACTCTGTTCGTAGAAATAAGAAAATAAATCCTTTGTTCTGATCCTTCAAACCGCTCTATTCCTTTGTTTCTTATGATGTTTCTGAACAATGGAACCTTATGATGTTTTTGTTCCTAGACAACCACATTAATATGGTGTCTAGAAGATTAAAAGCTACAGAACTAAATGACATTTAACATGAATATTATACTGTAAACAAACATCATGTAGAAGTACTTTGGGCTAAGTTACTGAGCCGTCACTTTTGCATCTGCATATAACCACTCCATGCTCCAGAGCTTACCACACAACAGATATCGAAGAGTAAGAGAGGTAATAAATCAGCTTAACTGCACTTAATTAAATGCCCTATAGTTTCCCGACCTTGCACTTAAATGCCTTATAGTTTCAAACCAAAAATAAGTTGTCCCAAAGTATTTTAGTGTCGCTGATGAATGCCAGATAGTTTAAAGAAACACAGACAGCGGTATCTTTTCTCTACGTCACATAACATAGGGGAATAAAGTAAAACTCTTCGAAACTTTGGATGAGGGCATCAACGTGCAACATTTTGAAACTTTAGGGCATTTATCGACAACACTCGAATGCTTCAGGGCTTATTTTTTTTATCGGTCTGATAAAAACTAAAAGGAAGTGCAAGGTCGAAGGAACTATAGGGCATTTAAGCGCAATTATGTAATGCAGAAAGTTAGTTATACTAAAAAAATGAAGGGCAGAAGCTCAAGGGAGACTTGTTTGTACATGGTAGTAAGTTGTAACATATGGAAGAAAGGAAGCATGTGGATGTGCGTGGCATGACGATTTAATATAATGATAATACAAATCATCCTTCTCAATTAAGCCTGTGAAGCAAGGAGAAGAGGTGCTCCAAATGTGTATGTTACAAAATCGCAATATCACAAATTTTACGTTTTGAATTCTATCGTATGTGTTTAACAAATATCCTCTAATTCTATCACAAGAGTCTGATAAATCTCCCCAAAGTTACCTTCTGCTGCAAAAATGAACAGAGAACATGGTTCAAGATTCTGAAATTAGATCACATTATCATAAAAGGCGCTTTGCCAACTTACTTGAGGGTTGTTTTCCCCTCCAAAATCTGTACGAGTGTAGCTTGTATAATGCATTTTAATCAACTGAATTGTCAAGAATTCCTTCCAAGTAATCTATTCCTCTATAATAATAGGAGGACCCAAGAATCATTATTTATGCTACAGTAAATGATATTCACTACAGAAATTTACTGCAATATTATTATTGTAGCATTTTCAAAGAAATATTACTATAGCCTATGCTAGATATTGTAGCATTATTAAAAATATTACTGTAGTAATTAAAAATATATTGCTAAAGCAAAGGTGGGATATTGTAGCATTTGAAAATATTGTTACCCCATTTAAAAAATATACTGTAGCAATTAAAAACGGGATTACTATAGCGATAAAAAAAAAGGGAAGGCTGTGCTTCGCACGGGCGCACACTAGTATAATCTAAAAGGGCAAAAACTGAAATATATTGAGCTGTTTACAAACTAATAAAGTGACAGAAGTAGCTTTTGAGGTACATGCAGCTTTGAGGTACATGCAGTTTTGTGCAAACCAATTGAATTCGTTATGCTACTGAGTTTTTGTCATAAAGAGGCCCGCATAAATTACACTTTGAATCACTGTATTGAAAATACCACGTCTCGCTGCATTTCTCCATTACCCATATAAATTGGGTTCTTGGTGTTCGCACTTTATATAAGTTGAGCTCTCTTAAGGTCTGAAACAACACTACGATCTTCACTTCCTCTTTCATTGTACAAAACCTGCAAAGAGAATAATAAGCTTTGGCGGCAGCTACTGCAACAGGAATTCAGAACTCCTTCTTTTTTCACATAATCATACCTTATCAATAAGACCGTATTCAACAGCTTCACTTGGGCTAAAATACTTTGGCCGTCTAATATCTTCCTCAATCTGCTCAGGAGTTTTCCCTATATGCTTTGAGTAGAGATTAACCTGTAAGAAACGAACCCTTGCTCAGAATTAGATGAAACAAGAGTATATATTTTGGAGATAATTCTATTCTAATCTGTGTATACCAGCCAACAGTTCACCTAGTATATGTAGATACAACTTTATTGCATGTGTCCAGACAGGGCGAAAGTTAAACTTACATAAAAAATTAAGAGATAACTTCGAGTTTCCCCATAAAGGTAAAGCTGATTGCAGAAAGCCCCCACACTGGGAAGCTTTCAAAACAAAACAAAAAGAGGAGAGAGGTTTTGTGTGTGTGGGTGGGCGGGTTTGGGGGGGGGGGGGGCGGGTTGGGGGGGGGGGTCCCCACATGCAATGAAAGGCATTTCACAGGGCTTTCGCCCTAAATTTACTTCTCTCTTTTTAAATGAATCCTGTAGTAAAACTCTAAAAGAAAGCAAAACATCCAGTAAATCTTCACTGCACGTTGGCCAAATATCTTACGAGTATATCGTATTATGTCAACGATAGAGCTTCACAAAGCTTTCTGAACGTATATGCAAAAAAAATTACCATTTACAAGAAAAATGGCCAAAGTTTTCTAATTACACCATGAGACACAAATCTTGAGGATAGTGCACGCAGAAAAGTTAATTATGAATGATCGACAGGTTGAGATGATATATATGTTCTTACCAACTCTGTCTTGACATTTCTTATTTCTTTTCTTGCAAGTTCAACATCTGTTGCTTGACCCTGGAACCTAGCAATAGGCTGCAAGATTAAAGCAACAGGCCTGTTAGACATGAATGGCATACAATCTAACAAATTTACCATACCAAAAAGTTAGATGCCAATTCAAACTGAGGCTAGGTGTGGTAAACGACTTTATAAAGAATAAATATGAAATTTCTGTAAATAATTAAGAGATGGTAAATAACTTTATAAAGAATAAATATGAAACTTCTGTAATTAATTAAGACGAATATTGGAGAAAGATACCTGCTTCATCATAATTGTTGATGATGGTAGGGCGGCACGGTTTCCTCTAGCACCAGCAGCCAAAAGCAAGGCAGCTTCTCCCCAAGCATTGCCAACACAAAGTGTGAAAATTGGTGGCTTAACATATCTAGCCATTGGAAAGATATTATATGTTGTTAATAATGTAACAACTATTTTACATTTAATACAAATTAATTACTTATAGATTTAAAGTGTAACTTGAATCAGTATCAACAGTAATTATTAATGACAAAGAAAATTAGCAGCTTCCTTAAACTTGAGGCTTGCAAAAGGACATTCTAGTGGTTGGTGGCGTTTACTGTTTCTCAATCAAACTACGGTTGTCATACAACTGAGAACTCTGAGAAGTTTCCACAAAGAAGTGACCAAGTATTATTAATCCCAACTCTTTATGATCCATAGCCACCTGATATCGAGCCGATAGAGATGATGACCATCTCCTGAAAGATATCACTATGGGCAAGAGAGTGTGCCACTATAAACACAGAAATACCTTCCGTTTCTTTTTAAGTTTTTGTTGGATAAAATGGAGGCCTAAGACCATTTCATTAGATGAGATGATGCAATTTGTCACAGATGTAACGTTCTTTTTAACATGTAAGAACAAATAATGATTTACTGAATTAAAATTACACTTGAATGTCTATCTACAGTATCTTCTGACATGATACAAAGAAACTCGGCAGATTCCAGAGAGTTGTGTCCAGTCAAAAGACGATCTAGTAGTTTTCGCCATTGGTGACCAAGTACTCTGCCTGAGCATAATTAAGAACAGCCCTTGACATATTTAGTTTATGATTGGCGGCAACATTCACGTGCAATGTAGCCTTTTTATGTGTTTCAAGAATTATTAATGGCTGATATCCTATATTTCATGAAAAAGGTACTTTGATGACTCTCTAGAGTATACCCTAGTTAATACTAAAGATCTTTATCTGTTCACAATACACAAGGAAAAATATGCATGAGATGTTTTTGGATGGGACAAATAATCCGATAATAAATTTGTTTCACAATACACTACCCTTGAAACTCCTAACAAGAATTCAGCAACAAAATCAAGGACCTAACCTCATGACATCGTAAATTGCAAAAGCCTCAGTTTCATAACCCAACTTCTCTCCACCCTGAAAGGATGATAAAAAATTGTTTATATATGTAATCTTTGAAAATATTGAATTGTATGAGCATGAAACATTGAAACTTCTGAGCAGCATACAAAAAGAATATAGATGAAAAACTACGGGACAGTCTCCAACCACAAAGAATAGCACACCAGAATTCTAGGCTACAGTTTATTTTTTTAAACCAAAAAAACACAGTATATTGAATATAACAGCCAAAATTTAATCAGCATAAGATTCTACTTCATAAACTCTTGAGCAAATGGGTAGGCAGCTCAGTCTCTAGCATTTCGATAAAGTTCTAAAGAGTGTTATACGAAGAAAGTACAGTATACCTTTGTTGTTCCGGTGGAATTTATGTATAGGTAAATTGGCTTATCTGCGTCCTCATATTGCAGATAAAGAAACTCTGCTAGGATCAGCTCTGTCACAGATGGTACAAGAGACATGCCCAAGTACACAATTCTATTTTTGTACAGATAAGAAGCTAGATCTGGAGGAGGTTGCTCCCATGCATTTCCTCTCAAGAAAGGGATAACCTGTTAATGAAAGAAATCATATACTCAGTTAAGCAGTTTCTACAATAAGCATTACAAGCAACTGAGCCACCATCTAAAAAAACAATCTTCCTCAAATGAACATGCCAAAGTTTTCATGAATTAAAGTGACATAATATCTACCCAGGTCAAAAACATATCATGCCGGACAAGAAAATACTATAGGGGCAACTCAGAAGAAAATCCATATAAGAAATCAAACAAAGAAACAACATCATCATCAACAAAGACAACAAAGCCTTTTGGCAAACTTTGGGATAAGTAAATCATATCCTCTTCTCCCATCCAGCTGTGAACATAGCTATTAATTTCGTACAATCATATGAAGAGTGAAACTTTTTTTTTTTAATCCAAGTGCTAAAAAGGATGATATCAGTATAAACACAGAGGTAACAGTTTGAGTTGAAACAGCACTGCTTGAATACTGGAGAGGCTATTTAGCTTCATTAAATATGCATGAACAACAGTAAGCTAAAATTCAAGTTTCAGTAAGAAACAAAGAAAACGTCTAATAACACAATATCCGACTTGACCTTAATAGCTTCAAAAAGTTCCTGGGACCTTGGAAGGAAAATGGTCAGATATCAGAAAATATTCTGCTGAGTTAAGATGACCAAACTTTTAACTAACAGATTCAACTTTATCCCCTCCTAAATCTAATATGTCCAACTGAGCAAGGTTGGTCAGTATATGAACAACAAGCACTCCTTTTATAAATTATTTCAGGCTGATTTACCCATCAAACATAATTCATGGCAGTCATTCTACTTTGGTAAACAAATCACTAACGCCAGGGTTCATGAAAGATTGTAGTAGCTAGAAAGATGAATATATGTTGTTATTTTTCTACAAGGTAGAAGAACATCTTGCTACAGAATCCCACATGGTACCCCAAACACAAGTTAAATCTTCCGTATCTTATTCAACTATAATACTTTTTACTCAGTCCATCTCTTTAATTAATAAACCTTGCCCAAGTTTTATTATGACGTCCCTAGTTCATGTTGAGTGATGATGAAACTTTCACAAGGCTTCTTATTCAGGCTCATCACTTCATTTCATAATCCTCTAGTTTAGCAGCACTTACTATTTTTCCATCAAAAGGTTACTGCTCTATGCTTGTTCTAAAACCGTGTACAAGAAGCAATTGGTTGCCTCGACTCAAGAAAATACGCCTGATGATAATTCCATAAACCTCCAAATTGTATAATCATTCAAAACCCAAATATAACGTCGAACATGGATTTACTTTTTTTTTAAGTCCATATATATCCTCAGCTAGAATGACCAAGGACAAAGGGAAAAGCATAATCCGACTAATGAACAGGTTTTACTCTGATACACACTGAAAAAATGATCCAAATTCGTAATTAGATGTGATTTCCAGAACTATTCCTTTGTTGATCAAGTTTCCATTTTCCCACAAATAAAGAAGTCATTTGCACAGTCTTTTGGACATAGTTTCAAAACCATATCCCAAACCACATTCTTTGATACTCAACAATGATTCACAAATTCTAAGTAGCACATTCGAAAATTATCAAAAAGAACATAACTATGGTATAAAGAAAGCTAAAACTCCCGTCGCAGATGCCCAATTCAATCATTACCAAGTATTTCTAGCTCAAAACTAACAAAAAGCAAAGCCCACACCATTACAATCTGATCTAATCGCTTAAATCAGTAAAGACCCAGATGCTAAAACTCGAAAATAAATATACCCATTTCAAATCACAGAATAAATTCCACGCCCGATATATCAATCAGCCATAAGTACCTTTATAAAAAAACAAAAAAGATAAAAGATTTTTGCGGTAAGATTACCATGGTGACGACGCCCCTCTTGCCACGTCGACCAGAGATCGAATGCCTCAACGAAGGAACGCTGAGCTTCTGACCGGTGAGCTCTCCGGAGGCGCTTCCGCCCACAAAAGGAGCAACGAAGCTGGTGGAAAGCGAAGCTTTGGTAGAGAATTTGGGGCATGGGTTTGAGGATCTGGCAGAGATCGTTCTGGCGCCCCGCGAGTGAGTGGAGGTACAGGATAACACGCGGGTCTCGAGAGAGAGCGGGGTAGAAGAGAAGGCGACCTCCATGGCCTCGAGAAAGAGGGGAGGCGGAGGATAAAGAGGAGAGCTTTTTCGTTTTGGGTGGGCTGAGTTCGAGTTTCACTGTTCCCAGAGCTTTTCCCGTGCGATTAGAATAGCTCGCTGAATCGGGCCGGGTCGGGTCGACCGAGTTGATAAGATTTGCGCTGAGAATCGAGTGGGGTGATGTTCGGCGACTTTGACTCCACTTTGGCTTATAATTCACAAATCCATCAATACCTATATCTATACGGCCATAAAAAGGAGATTAGGATGTTTTTTTTTCCTTTTCCTGTCCTCTAAATCTTTTATAAATTCTAACTGTCATTATTTCTAATTAATCTTTTATTAAATAAATATGACCTCTTACTAATGATGCACATCCTCACCTTCCTAAACAAAATAAGTATACACAATTATTAGTAGTAACCAATTAAATTATTATAATAATTATTTATGAATTATAATAAAAATAACTAAAATAATAGTATAAATAGAATACTATATCCCTAAATACTATTCAGAATTTTACTATAACTCAATGAGCAATAAAATAAATAGAATAAATTTTGAATCTTATAAATAGTGTAATTATTTTAATAACATCATGTAAATTATGATTTACACTATTTATTTAGATTAAATAAATAATTTAATATAATTTTTAGAGTATTTTCTCAAATATTATTATGTGATACTGAATAATCTATACATGGTAATGATTGAAAACTAACTTTTTTTAAAATATTATTTAATATTAATAAATAGTATTATTAATTGTCAATGATAGCATAATAAAGCTTACAAATATTTATAGTACTAACTTATTTAGGAGCATAGTTAAAAAATAAAATTTGATAAATATTTGTAGTATATAGACAGTATAATTATTTTAATAGTATTCTTTGAACTAAAAATTATAATATTAAATAAGATAAATTACAGTAAATCCTAATAAACTTTCAGCATTTTGCAGTAAATAGACTCTATGAGCTTTTGAAATCACACTAAACCCGTGTTAACTTTTGTAGAAAGCCTCCAATGTCTATTAGATAAATTACACCAAACCCCCAGTGTCTTTTTATATCATTTTCTAGTTCTAATATATAGGGGTTATTTGCAAAATTAGGAAGTTATTTTAAAAGTTCATATGGGCCGAAAGTTCACAAGGGTTTAGTGTGATTTATCCTATTAAATAATTATAATGAGAATAACTATTGCAATATGTTGTAGATATCAAGTGTAACTATCTAGGAAACATCAGGAAAAAAACTAGCAAGATTAATGCAGCTTAGTTAATTTAGAGTTCAGTTAACAACTTTTAAGTTAGAATTGCGTATTTAAGCGAACTTATAGAGTTTGTAGTTTCATTTAAGAACAATTATAGATGTAGGGATTTATTTAAAAAAAAAGGTTAACACTAGACGATCATTATAAAAAGAACATTACATTTATTTTTAAGCAATGTTATTATACAATTTTATTTATTAACATATAGTTTTACTATTCAATAAAAAATTCAAAACTTAAAACATGTTCCTTCGCATACAAAGCACGTGCACTATACTAATAGGGTATAAGTCAAATTTTTTGATAAATTTAGTACATTATGATTTATTTTTAATAGTAGAGTACGTGACAATGAATAACTTATAAGTTATTATTATTATAAAAAATCAAATGACCAAATTGTATTTAATGGGATTAGAAATAGAAAATGAGTGTAGGATTTCTATAAAATGATAAGCCATGCTTTAATCTTTTGCTTGGTTAAATATTGTGTCTTATAAGCTGCCAAAAATAAGCTAAAGCATCATAACTTATTTTTAATGGCTCATAAGCTAAAATCATCCATTTGCCAAACATGTAAAAGTGACTTACTTTAAACACTTATTTAACTTTTTTATGTATGAGAAAAAGTTTTGAGGGGCTTTCTAAGGGCAAATTTTTAAAATAGACCCTATTAGTAATTTATTTTTAAAACATGACCCATTTGAGATTTGATTGCCATTTTCAACCCGGTTTTCAGCAACCTGGTTGAATCCCGGTCGAAAATAGTGAACATTTTAAAAACTTCACGAGATTTAAAATACATGAAGTTTAGTGTCTGATTAACCACGTTAATAAAGTTGCAGAAGTTCAAAAACTTCACAAGATTTAAAATCCCGTGAAGTTTAGTGCGTGATTAACTATGCTAAACTTCTTGAGATTTTAAATCCCGTGAAATTTTTGAATGGCTGAAACCAGGTCGAAAATAGTAATTAAATTTCAAATGAGTTGATTCTTAAAAATAAATTTCTAATGGGTCTATTTTGAAAATTTGTCCCTTAATCTTTGCATTTTTCATCTTAACCCCTCACCCCGTCTCCATCCCTCAAACCCCAGATCGCTGCTTTCGTTAATTCTTCAGACGACTGAGCAGAGATCATGGATTCTTCAGCTTCTGGGAAGAAGTACGAAATCAAAGGAGAAGACCCATCCCCAGATCGAAAGGGGAGAACAAAGAGACTGGAGTTGATGCATCTGTCTTTGACTATGGTAAATCTGTTGATTTTTATCTTAATTTTGATATTGGTTTCTATTCTTTTGTACTTAAAAACATGGAAAGTTGTAATTTTGACTTTGTGTAGAAATTCTTCTTCATGTGACAGTATTGATACACCGAAGTCTTGTTTAGATTATATGAGGATATTCGTTAAAAAACAGTTCACATTGGTAATTCTATTCCAGGATATAGAAATCTATCAAGTTTATGGAAAGATTGTTCCATGACTAAAATCCATCTACTGTATATGTATATGTATATCATCGTAAGGTTGGAGGTGATAGATTGTTAATTGTTGGTCTCGGATGTGGAGACCCAAATCTGGAATCAAATCAACGAAGAAAACTGAGAAAAAACCAGTCCGGTCGACCGACGGAGGAGATCCGGTCAACCGCCACGCCTGCAGGAAACAAGTGTGAGAAGCTCGCTCTGGCCAATTGACCGATGAGAATAGTCCGGTCGACCGAAAACCCTGTAAGAAATCCAAGCCCAAAATCAAGCTTTGGCCGGTCGACCGACACGAGGACTCCGGTCGATCGAAAATGTGCACCAGTAGACCCTGTAAAATTGACACTCTGGTCGGTCGAACGAAGCCATTTGTCCGGTTGACCGATGTTGGGATTTTTAGTTTCCTGGTTCGTTTGGGATTCTGTTTTGGGTTGGGATACTATATATACCTAATACGTTTTAGGGTTTGGTAGAACACGAGAAAAAGAGGGTTTTAAGAGGATTCTTTCAGAGTGATCTCAAAGAAAACCTATTTATGGGCATTGTAATCTTCTTCAATTAATCAAAGGATTGTGTGGTGTGACTCCTGATGACGTATGCACGTTAGCGAATCTCGTTAAATCTGGTGTGTTCTTTCTAGTTTATCTTTCCTGTAATTTTTCTTTTATTTGCGATGATTTTCCTATTTGCTAAACTCTTAGCACAAGATCCGTAAGAGCACAGGTTCAATTGATTATTTTGAATACCTAACAACTGGTATCAGAGCTTCGTTCAGAATATTTGTGTAAGAATCATGGTAGAGGAAAGAAAATAAAAAATCGAGAAGTTTGACGGATCAGACTTCGCCTACTGGAAATCATAAATAAAGGACTATCGGTACCAGAAGGACCTTTATCGTCCTTTGATGGGCAAGACTAAAGGAAAGAAGAAAGAGAAATCAGACGAGGATTAAAAAATACTGGATAGAAAGACTTTAGGGTAAATCTGGTTGTCGCTCGCCAAATCGGTCACCCACAATATATTGAAGGAGAAGACGACAGTGGGGCTTATAGAAGCGCTCGTAAAGCTGTACGAGCAACCGTCAGCCGCAAACAAGATGCATCTCGTCAAAACGTTCTTCAACTTCAAGATGGCAGAAGGATGCTTCTTCACGATGCACCTCAATGAGTTCAATACGATTGTTGATCAACTTATCTCCGTGGACATCACGTTTGATAACGAAGTGCAGGTCCTATTGAATTTATCGTATTTGTCGGATAGTTGGACAGATTGTGTAACCGTAATTAGCAACTTGGCGGGAAAAGAGAAGTTAAAGCTGAGCGAGGTTGTTAGTATGATTCTATTCGAGGAGGTTAGAAAAAAACCATCCGAATAAGAAGATTCAAGTTCAGCCCTAAATCTCGAGCAGAGAGGTCGAATCCAGAAGAAGGACAACCAGAAGAGGAATCGATCGAAGTCAAAGAAGAAGAGGTCGAACTCGAATGTTAGGCCTATCAAAGAAAATTGTTAGAACTGCGGTCAGGAGGGTCATATGTTATAGTCTGCAAAGCGCCAAAGAAGGATACGAACGACCAAGAGGCTCACATCGTACAAGATACATTGATCCTTGCTATGGACAGTGATTCTGATTCTTAGGTTATTGACTCAGGAGCCTTTTTTTACGTTCCTACTAATAGGAAGCTTCTTCAGAACTATGTAGCAGGAGACTTTGGGAAAGTGTATTTGGGGGATAACGAGCCTTGTAGTATTGTTGGAAGAGGCGACGTGCAGATTCAGATGAAGGGCTCTAAGTAGAATCTAAAGAATGTCAAATACGTACTGAAGCTGAAGAGGAATCTTATTTCGGTCGATCAGGTTGGAACATAAGGCTATGTTTTAACTTTCATCGGAGATTCATGGAAAATCTCCAACGATACTATAGTGGTTGCCCGAGACAACAAAACCGAAACTCTTTACCTCACTTCACATGCGAGTGACACCCTTACAATTGTAGCTGTCAAGGAGAGTACGGATATGTGACACAATAGGTTGGGACACATGAGTGAGAAGGACATGAAGATTCTATACTCACAGGGAAAGCTATCCGATATCAATTCAGTTAAAATTGGTGTTTACGAGAACTGTATCTACGGGAAGCAGAAGAGGGTCAGCTTTCATAAGGATGGAAGACCACCTAAAGCTCAGAAGGTAGAGCTTGTTCATACAGATGTATGTGATCCAGCTAGCGTGTCTTCTCTTGATGGTTCGACGTACTATGTCACCTTTATCGACGATCACTCGAGGAAGGTGTGGATATACTTCATAAAGCACAAGTCAGATGTGTTCAGGATCTTCAAGAAGTGGAAAGCCATGGTGAAGAACGAGACATATCTGAAGGTAAAGTGTCTGAGATCGGATAACGGTGGAGAATACGAGCTGGAGGAGTTCAAGAGGTTCTGTGCTCTAAATAGGATTCGTTTGGAGAGGACTACTCCAGGGACGTCGTAACAAAACGGTGTTACAGAGAGGATAAACATGACATTGACGGAGCGTACGAAGAGCATGCGTCTACATGCAGGTCTACCTAAGACGTTTTGGGCGGACGCGGTGCATACGATAGCTAAATTGATTAATCATGGGCCATCAGATTTATTGGATTTCAGGATTCCAAAAAAGATTTGGAGTGACAAGAAGGTTAATCTCTCACATTTGAGAGTATTTAGTTGCGTGACATATGTTCATCTCAGTGACCATGTCAAGGACAGCTAGAAGCTAAGTCACAGAAGTGTACATTTATTGGATACGACATTGATGAGTTTAGGTATCGTCTTTGGGATGAGGGGAATAGGAAGATCATCAGGAGCAGAGATGTCATATTTAATGAGGAGGTGATGTATAAGGACAGAGATAATGCTAATGATAACCAAACCAGTTAGAGCAGTACTACGGATGCAGGTGGCACTGTTTTAAATATCGGCCGATAATCGATATTATCGGCCGAGTTATCGGATTTGGGAGCTCTCCGATAGGATAACTTGGATTTTTAATCGGTTATCGTTTTTGGCAAGTTATCGGGGAGTTATCGGCGTTATCGGTACTTATCGGCCGATAAGTAAGGTTTTTTTATCAGGATTATCGGCCGATAAGTAAGGCTATGTAATCAAATGGTTTCATCGTGCGGTCAAGATGTAAGTTTTGCTTTCTACAATTGGTTAGTGATTCTAAACATGATGATTTACATTTTGGTATGTTTATATTTCATTAAGCATGGTTAGATTACATTTTTTAGTTATTATATTATATATATACACCATCTAGTATATCACTCCGATAAATACTACTTATCCCCGATATATCCCCGATTTCCGCTATCCGATAAGAATTTTGGCCGTCCGATAAATTCCCGATAACCGATATTTAAAACCTTGGCAGGTGGATTCGAATACATGAATTTAGAAGAACTTTTAGATGAGGGAGACAGTGTCAGTTTTGACCGAAAAACGAAGGAGACTCCAGGTGTAGAGACTACTATCCAGAGCGTGAAGCTTATGAGGTCATCCAGGATATCCAAACCGAATCCCAGATATCTTTCATCACTAGATTATTTGCTTTTGACAGATAGCGATAAACTGAAGTGTTATGAGGAGACTATACAAATTAGTGAATCTCAGCAATGAGAACATGCGATGTAAGAAGAGATGGATTCTCTCCACTCGAACGAGACATGGAAGCTAGCCCAACTATCTGCACAGAAGAAAACCGTACATAACAAATGGGTCTACTGAGTCAAGCAGGAGAGTGATGGAAGCAAGGGGTACAAGGTCAGATTAGTCGTGAAGGGATTCCAACAGCAGAAAAGAGTGGATTATACATAGTTATTTTTCCCTATTGTGAAGCTTACAACTATTAGAGTGGTGTTGAGCTTAGTAGCTACAGAAGATCTCTATCTTGAACAGTTAGATATGAAGACTATCTTTTTTCATGGTGATTTGGATAAAAAAATCTATATGAAGCAACCTGTTGGCTTTATTAAAGAAGAAAAGGAAAAGATAGTGTGTAAGCTCAAGAAGAGCTTGTACAGATTGAAATAGGCTCCGAGAAAGTGGTACAAGAAGTTCGATAACTTCATGCAGAGCAATGGCTATATAAGATGTAATTCAGATCATTGTTGCTACTTCAAGGGGTTCGAGTCCAGCTATATTGTGTTATTATTGTATGTTGATGACATGTTAGTTGCAGGATCATATTTAGAGGAGAAAAACAATTTGAAGAAACAGTTGACGAATGAATTTGCTATGAAGGATCTGGGTGTAACGAAGTAAATTCTTGGGATGCGAATTAGTACAGATGAAACTGAATGGACGTTGAAGTTGAGTCAAGCTGAATACATTGAGAAGGTACTTTAGAGATTCAACATACAGAATGCTAATGTTGTTAGCACGCCCCTTGAAAGCCAGTTTAAATTATCTGAGGAGCAATCGTCCAAGACCGATATAGAGAAGGAGCACATGAGTAGAGTGACATATTCATCATCCATTTGTAGTCTTATGTACGCGATGGTTTGCAGAGGCCGGATATCGCCCATACAGTGTGAGTTATGAGCAGGTTTGCGAGCAATCTAGAGAAGCAGCATTGGGGGATCGTGAAGTGGATATTGCGTTACTTGAGAGGGACTACGGATATACAATTGTGTTTCAGGAGGAGGGAGTTGGTACTGCGGGGATACGTGCATGCGGATTTCACCGGTGATCATGATACGAGGCGAAACACTACGGGGTATGTTTATACCTTAGCGTTGACAGCAGTGAGCTGGGTCTCACGTTTACAGAAGATAGTAACATTGTCCACGACTGGGATAGAGTATGTCGTAGTGACTGAATCCAGCAAGGAGATGATTTGGTTGACAGGGTGTTTGGAAGGGTGAGGTTTGAAGCATGAGAACATAGTTCTTTATTGTGATAGTCAGAACGCTATGCATCTTGCTAAGAATCCAGTATATCATGTCAGAACAAAACACATCGACGTATGTTACCACTTCATACGCTCGTTGATTGAGGACGAGAAATTACAACTAGAGTAGATTTTAGGGAGTCAAAATCCTGCAGATATGTTGACGAAATCAGTGACCATTGACAAACTGGAGTTGTACGTAATTTCAGTTGGCCTTCTCGGGTAGAGTCGAAGGCGGAGCCACACTAGGAGGATCAGTGGGATCGTCGAGATGATGATGATTGAAGAATGGATTTATCCGGGGAGGAGAAGATGTTTGCGAAGATGGCAAGAGTTCGGGAGAGCTCGTTGATGACGGTTTGATCTCTAAGTGGGAGATTGTTGGTCTCAGGTGTGGAGACCCAAACCTGGAATCAAATCAACGAAGAAAACTGAGAAAAAACCAGTCCGGTCGACCGACGGAGGACATTCGGTCAACCGCCCGTAGGAAACGAGCGTGAGAAGCTCACTCTGGCCGGTCGACTGACAGGAATGGTCCGGTCAACCGAAAGCCTTGTAAGAAATCCAGGCCCAAAATCAAGCTTTGGCCTATTGATCGACACGAGGACTTCGGTCCACCGAAAATGTGCATGAACAGACCCTGTAAAATTAATACTCTGGTCGGTCGAACGAAGTCATTGGTCCGGTCGATCGATGTCGGGATTTTCAGTTTCCTGATTCGTTTGGGATTCTGTTTTGAGCTGAGATACTATATATACCTAATACGTTTTAGGGTTTGGTAGAACACGAGAAAAAGAGGGTTTTGAGAGGATTCTTTCAGAGAGATCTCAGAGAGATAAAAACCTATTTGTGGGCATTGTAATCTTCTTCAATTAATCAAAGAATTGTATGGTGTGGCTCCCGAGGACGTAGGCACGTTGCCGAACCTCGTTAAATCTGGTGTGTTCTTTCTAGTTTATCTTTCCTGTAATTTTTCTTTTATTTGTGGTGATTTTCCTACTTGCTGAACTCTTAGCACAAGATCCAGAAGAGCACGGGTTCTATTGATTGTTTCGAATACCCAACATATATGTAATCAACCAGTTGAGTAATGGTAGAGGCTGAGATCTTTGATCCCATCCAGTTTCTCAAAAAATAAATAAATAAATAATCCATCTAGATAATTGCTTCACATTAAACTTTAAGTTGTTGGTTAAATATACATATATAGGACACGCTCACTGAAATAAATAAATAAAAATGAATATTTGTTGTCAATTTTAAGGTTTGAAGACACAGGATTTAATACTCCCATATTATGTTACCATGTTAATTACAGGTATATGAGAAAGAGAAGTTGTTAAGTGGTAACATATGTATAAATTATGCCAGCCTTAAACAATTATGACTATGGAAATGTTGATTGGGCTCCCATTTCATGCAGGAAATTACTCATAAAATGTATGTCCTAGTAAAGAAAATCCCTCTAAGAAGCTTCTCGATGTTCCTATGCAAATATCTTTTTCTCTAATGTATATGATATAATCATACAATGATTGTATTTTTTAGTCCCAACAATTTCATCCATAAACTATTGTTCGTCTTATAGTTGTCTCATTTTTTTGTCCCTTCCTATTTCATGGATGTTCTATGATAAGATAAGTGATAAAACTCTAGAAGTGTTTGTCCGCTTTAGCCATCTAGGTTCAATTCTGTGAACCATATCCTTCTTGATCACATCTTGATAGTTGATTGTTCCTAAATACCTAAACTAGCAAAATTGATTGGTTCAAGAACTATATGTTTTTTACTATTGTTTTAATCAACATGCTCATTCTTTTTCATAGTTATGCCAAATTTACATTTTATTATATCCTGTTATCGTTCTTCTTAATATCTTAGACTCAAGAGTTTGTTTGCCCTCTTTTATTTTGAAAATCATTCTATATTGTTTCTATGAGGAATAATGTTGTAAAAGTATTATAGGAAGTCTTTCAAAGTCCGTTTAGTCTATTTCAATCGCTATACTGATTTACTGCATAATTCCTTATGCGATATCATAAAACATGTCCGTACAAGCTTTCTACCAATCATTAGTTATATAAAAAAAATTGTAAGAATTCTAAATTATCGCATGTCTTCCAATTTGAGATGTGTGAACCCTCTAAGTCCAAGCCCATGTAGTTGTCATACATACACTTATTACCGCCTAAATAAGCGAATGATGTTGAAATCGCTGCCTTTCATGTAAGAATGACGAGGATCTTAAAGGATGTAATAATTAAAAAAGTAGTATTGGATAAAAGGGGAAATCTTCAACGTATTATAATGATTAAACTAAATAGATGAAGCATTTATATTAAAAAATCTTCTATTTTTATAATTAAAAAGTTAGTATTGAATAAAAGGGAAAACCGTCAATGTTTTATAATAAGTAAACTGAATAGATCAAGCATTTATGTGAAAAGATTCTATTTTTTATATATACTAAAGGTTGATGTTCAGAAGAAATCTTAACACAAAGGGTTTCTTGTTTTGCCTCCATATCTTATAGTTGCATATGTCCCTTCCAACCTCCTCAACTGACAACCACCTCCACACTTGCAGCTCACAGTTGTTCTTCTATATAAGGTTCCCCTAGTTTTTCTTTCTGTTGAATTATTATAGAATATACAATTAGTTTTTAGTTATTTTTCAATAGTTTTTCATGAGGAAGTTTTTTTGTCATATGTAATATATAAATTTTGTTTGCAACTTCTCCATGTTTTGCAGGTTGTCTCTCTTTAAACAAGAACAATTTGAGTGTGGCGAGCCCTCTTAAACAAAGATGTTGAGATATTGTTGATCAAAAATTGTATTAGCAAGATGTAGCCATCTCAACTATGATCATATGCTTAGTTTTTGAAGGACAAATAGTTCTTGAATTACGCTATATAAAGATTTTTGGCTAAATCCTGGTCAAGGTGAAGGTGTCAAAGATCTCAAAGAGAATTAGCTTTACTTTGGTATGGTTTTGTTTGCTGCTACTTTCTTGAGCTTCTATCCTTCATTTGCTAGTTTTTTTATAGCATTTTCGGTAAATATGGACGTCTAGAATCTTGAAAGTTTCAAGATGAAATGCATAAGACTACCTCGAACTTTCTATTGTCCGCAAGTATTTTTTGCATACTTTTAACCATTTATTACCTAAATTTCTTTTCAATGAACAAAACTTTTGGCGTACACTGTTCAATATTGATGGCTTATAGAGAATTGCCCATTTTACCCTTAACAAGATTTCTAGGGGGCATGTTTTCTGAAGTTTCAAAAAGTATAAATAACTCATTTTGGAATGGAAAAGAATTAGGGTTTTTCTCCAAAAGGTTTCTCTCCGCCGACCTGAACGTTTGAGGTTCCAAAAAAAGAAGAGGAACAAATAGAATCAGGATCCACGTAGCAATTTTGGCTGGGTAATTTCTTGCCCGAAGGAGGATTCTTCTTAATAATCTAGGATAGATCTGCTTAACAAGGTAATCTTTTTACTGTTTACTTATGTTTTTCTTTCTAGGTGAATTTTAGTAATTGTTGTAGATTTATTTTGAAAAATCTGTTGTTTTCACGAAAGCGGATAACTCCTTCTCTTTCTTTGGAGATACATTGTAATTTTCAGGGTTACCATCTAACCAAAGATCCTAAAAGAAAATAAAGACAAAGTTAAGGTTAATTGATGATTTGATTGGAAAGTTTAAACATTTTTACCTGAAAATAGAAAACTCAGGATTGAAAGGGAATTAGATGAAAATTTTACTTGTTAGTCAAACTGTAAGGAGTTTTATGTCCTTGCAAACTCATTAGATGACTTTAAGCTCCTTTGACTGGAGGATGAGGGTTTTGCAAGCATCCGCCTGTAAGGAATTGGCCTCAGAGAATTATCAAATAACCGTACATCTTGAAGTTTAGTGCCTTGCCAATTCATTATCATAATTGTTCTATGTGGTATTATCTTACTGCAGGCAGATCCTGGTTTTTTCTATATTTCTCTTTTTGAGATAGCTTAACTAAGTAGTGGGTATCATTTTATCCTTGGTTGGGTTCTATATCTTTGTTCTGTTACCATTGTTTTTCTTTTTCCTTTTTCTTGAAGACAGAACCACGGAAAAAATGGATTAATACCAATAAGAGAATATTCTATAAGTTGCCATTTGGCATTAAAGCCATGGTCAAAATAGTTTCTTTTTCCATAAAAAAAAACAATTTTTTGATTTAATGACATTTGCTTTTAAGCTTGTTTACAGTTCCATTAAGAACCTTCCTATTCAGTATTTTACATTGATGTGTTACATTTGCTTTTAAGCTTGTTTACAGTTCCATTAAGAACCTTCCTATTCAGTATTTTACATTGATGTGTTGCTGAAATTAATGAACTTTATGACAGTTCCATTAAGAACCTTCCTATTCAGTATTTTACATTGATGTGTTGCTGAAATTAATGAACTTTATGCATTGGAGGCGTTCAGACATACTTGTAAAGCCTGCTTTTTTCCCATACTCTTTGAAAATGTTTTGTTTGGAATTAGATTTTTCAAGTTTTTTCATAGTATATGCTGATAATATTTGATACGGATCCTTGCAACACTGTTAAGTAATGATATATAAATTTCTTCGAAGAAGAAAGCAAAAAAGGAAAAAAAGCTGCTTAACCAGGAAGCTTTTATGATGATTTTATGATTGTTTTCATTTTTGTTCTCCCTTTTTTTCAATCATTGCCATAATTTATCTATTTGTTTGTGAACTATATACATACATACATACATACATAGTTGTACATATACTTACAGTATTCATTTATCTGTAGGGTGAATGTGCTGGTGTGTCCTTCCACAGTCTTGACTGGTGTTACTGACATACCCACATCCAAGCAGTCAGGTGTGATCTTGGTATTTTGATGATAGAGACTGTAGTATTTTGGTCGTGTACAATGTTAGTTACTCACCAGCCAAGACCGTATTGTCACACAATAATCCCCATTTACTCTTATTTGTATTGCCTTGATTTTTGATATGATGATTTTTTGCTAGACAAGGATGATGAATGGAGAGCAACCAAACTTTGGTTTCCAGTGTAAGAAAAGTAAACATATGGCACCAAGTCATGATCTAATCGACGAACTTCCCCCAGAATGCCTGTTGCATATCTTTAGCTTCCTTGAATCCGCCCGGGATCATTGCGCCAGTGCTGCAGTATGTAGGAAATGGCTTAAGCTTCTCATCGAGTTAATAATACTCAAAGTTAGATCAAGCACCTATGACTTTTCACTTACACTGCCATTGTGTCGTCGACTGAAAGGGAGCTCAGCTAATGACATTACACTTATTAATTTAGGTGTGGGAACCTATCCTCATCATCGCTTGACTTCTCTTTATCTGTGTGAAGGTCCTCTCTTTGCAATCACTGATGATGGCCTAAAGACTATTGCCCAATTAAGCCCTATGCTTACTTCTCTTACACTTCACAGTTGCCAATCCGTGGGAAATTTGGGATTAAAGTCCGTTGCTGAATTTTGCAAACAGCTTGAAAAGCTAGAGCTGATAAACTCATTTATTGATGATCGTGGTATCCTACCAATATCTGAGAATTGCTTACATTTGTCCATACTGAGCCTTGAGCACTGTCCGTGCATTAGCAACGAATCACTAATGGCATTTGCAAACAAGTCTTTGCATATTAGGTGCATCACATTAATAGACTGCCAACTTATTGGAGATTCTGGCATCTTTTCTCTCATATCTAGTCAACCAGAGTTGACGAGGATCAAGCTTATCTCTATGAATGTCGGTGATGAAGTTCTCATAGCAATACAAGAGCATGCACGGGCTTTAAAGGTGTTTTACTTAGAAAAAGGTTCATATCCTAGCGAGAATCACTACTCATGGATCGAAGCAATCGGTAAACTTGATGCAGCTATACCTCGTCCTTTTGCCACTTTTGTAAGAAGGAGCTTGGCCCACTTAAAGATTTTGGAAATGAAGGGTCATGTCTCTTTAAGTGATGATTTTTTATTAGCACTGAGCCGAACAACCAAGTTAGTCCAAAGGTTCAAGCTAAAGAATTGTCGAGGATTCACCTCCGGAGGAATCCTGGCAGCAGTTGCAAACTGGAGCCAGCGCTTAGAGGTATTATCATTGAAGAACTGCATTGTAGTTGGAAAAAAAGAAGTGACACACTGGAGCCAGCGCTTAGAGGTATTATCATTGAAGAACTGCATTGTAGTTGGAAAAAAAGAAGTGACACGAGAACAAGGCTTACAAACCTTCCCATCACTAAGAACCCTCAAATTGATAAAATGCGAAGGAGTTGATGACTGTTTCTTGTCTTCATTAGGGCCAGTGTGCAAGCAAGCAAAGCATGTTAGCTTGGATGGTTTAGAATCTATCACTGATCGAGGATTCCAAGCTCTTGTAAGACAAAACACTGATCACCGACTTCAGTTTTTGCATCTAGATGGCTGTATAGGAATTAGTGATGTGGGATTATGTTCAGTGCTAAGAACTTCAGGCAAAAATATTGAGTTCTTGAATGTCGATCAGTGCACAAGTATTACTGATCAGAGTTTGATGATGATAGCGGACAAATGTTGGAAACTAAAAACTCTTTGTGCATCCTGCTGCAGAGTTAGCGACAATGGGGTATTTTATGTGACACGTAATTGTGGGAAAACTACGGAGTTTATGTCATTTTCTCGGTGTACGAGGATCACTATGAAAAGTGTGAGTTATATTGAGGTAATGAGTACCAGACTTGTGCTTCGTGAACTTATTGGCTGCCCTCAGATTGAGGAGAGGGCCTCAGGCTTACTTTGGTGTCGTAGATAGATTGGGAGGTGAGCCACAGCTACACTCCATAAACTTGCTTTATGTTCTGTTATATACTGGGTATCAACCATCTTGAGCAAATCAAATTGGACATGGCTTGTTCACTAGGATATGTTGTTAAGTAATGAACGTCATCAAAGAAATATAGCATGTGCCAAGATAACTACTTTTTTTGTCTAGTATTATATGATTTTGAGAAGAAACTGCATAACTTCATGGTTAGTTAACCAACTTCATGTTAGAAGTCTGCTCTTAATTGGTTGTTCTAAAACACCCTGACATGACATATAGGAATGCAGATTGTTGGAATGATTCGATGAATTTTTACTCTTAAAGTCCCTACTACTGCACCAAAACTCCAAAGTTCTGATAAGGATTGAGGCTTGTGATTTTATATTCTAACATGTACTTGCAGGGTAAACACCCTTTTAATGGGCTGAAACATGGACTCACGCACCAATGTCAGTTTTTTTTTTAAAATCCGTATTTCGTGGTCAGTGGGAATTGAACTTGGGTTGCTTTGGTACCATCTTAAAGTGCATGCCAGTGCACCTAAACTCTAGAGATATGGTGAGGGTTGAGATTTTATATTCTAACAGTTGTAGAAAATAATTAATTTTTGGGTAAATTCCAGTAAATCCCCAATAAGTTTAGCCTTTGGCGTATAACCCTCAGAAACGTTTGAAAGTTTTGGGAATTCCTGAAAAACCTCAAAGCGTTTTGATTTTTTTGCACTTAAACCCTATAAGGATGTAAGCTCATATTTGACTTCCCAAACAGGAAATATTGCATAAACATCATAAAGCAGTCATGGGAGTTAAAGTGATAAAAATCAAAACATTTTGATGGATTCTCTGAAATTCCAAGCGTGCTGGGGCTCTAGTGAAACTTACCCTTAATTTAATGATTATTCCCAAGCAACTATATCTAATTTAAACAAGAATATAGTGGAGATATTTCAGAAAGGTAAGAAATTGACGCTAAACTATTATTCTTATAGGCGAGAGGGAAAGATAATGCAAGTACAAAATGGATTAAAGAAGTTAAATAACTTAAGTTCACTTCTCGTTTAGATTTTTCTTCAGATATTCGTGGGTTTTCTTTAATGAGCAGTATATATAAGACTATTTGTTTTTCCATAAAACTACAGGTCTAATGCTTGATTTGTTGTTGATTGTAGAGATGCTCAGATATGATTGGTAAAAATCTAGTTCATCGATTGGGAGTACTGTTGGTTTCAGTGGTGCTAGCTCTTTCTTCATGGCTGGTTTTCTGGAGATGTCGCCGTTCTCTTTTTGCTGAAGTTTGATAATGGTTTTTTTTTTCTTCATACAATAGATGGACATGCCTTTTGTTCTTCTGTTACTTTGATTATGTTGTTGTTGTTGTTGTTGTTGTGTTGCATTTATTTGCTTGATTAAACCCTGTGACTTTGATAAGGGTAGTGTGCTTTGGACTATACATCCTGTTATCAATGGTGAACAAGTTGAGCTTCTTTTATCTCGAGTCTTTCTGTGTTGATGCAGCTTGCATAATAGCATGATGAAGCCGTGCAGCAAAAGTGAATATTTATTGTTATTGTTGAAATATTGCCGGTTTGTTCTGTTGCCTTTTGTTTGGTAAGAACAGGAATATTTATTCCAAATTGATTTTTGGTTCTAGTATTGAAGAGGGATGAAAAGTTAAATTTGGTTCCTCTAAGATCACTTTTGAATACTATTGCGCCTCGTTTGGTACGCGGGAATGGACATAAGTGAGAATGGAATGGAAGAAGGAATGGAATGGATTGTATGTGGGAATGGAATGGTCATTCCCATTCTCATGTTTGGGTACTTTTGTAGAATTAGGCTAGAATGAAAATCTCGTTCCCATTCCCATGTTTGGTATCACTTGTCCACAAGTGAGAATGGAATCGCATTTTCTAATAATGTCCTTACAACAACATATATTTTTAATAAGATAAAAATAAACATTAATGATAATAACTAAACAATTTTATTTATGCATATGTTATACTAATTTCTGTGCATGTTATACTATTGCGCATGTTATCTCTCAAGTGTATGTTCTATTTATATTTTTTAAACAATACTCACTATTTCTTAGTCTTAAAAAATTAAAGAAAAATAAATAAAAGATTATCGCATCTTTCATAGGTCCAAAAAAAATATAAAGAATGATATCCACAGTTGATGCATATTGCATATGAAAAGGATGTCAGAATTACTAATGTGGAAATCAGTTGATTAATAGGGGTATAATTAAAAAATAAATAACTGATTTGATTCTCTCTTGAATGAGAATGACCATTCCCTATCTTCTCACTTGGAATGCCCATTCCCACAAAAAGTAAGAATGGTCATTCCCTGGGAATGGTCATTCCAACATCTAAAAGGTTGGTTTGTTTGGTATGAAGGAATGGGAAGTGAGAATGTCATTCCATTCTACCCCATTCCCGCCTACCAAACGAGGCCTTGCATCCCACAGTTTCTTGAACCGATTTTAGTGAGTGATATTATGAGGCTCTCATTGGCCCGATATATGTAATTTCTTTTCTATTTTTTCAGGCTCAGACGACCCCTCTGCTTTTACTTTTTTTTTCTTCTCCATTAATTCATGATTTGTTTCACTTTTCAATCGTACGTTTGTTTTGATTTTTCAATCCCATTTATTTCTTGATAGAGTGTTCTTTAATTCCATTATTGATTCAATAAATTTAGCATTATCCAGCACAAAATGTAATATTCTGACAAAATGTATTGGCAACAATCAATTAAAAGTGATAGGATGCCTACGAGCAGCACTTGAAGATGAAGATCTCAGGTTCGACTTCCTAGAGGAATTTAATTTCTTGAAATATCTTCAGGCTGTATGTTGGAAGCACTCTTAGCCACACTCGGAGTTTGATAACCATAATATGAAGAATTGTAAGGATTTTGGTAATGTTCCCTCCCTAATTCCAGGGGGGGTTAAAAAAAAAATTTAGCAAAAACTTTTATCTTTTCCTGAGAGAGGAGAAGTGATTATCTTTTAATCTATTGATTTCCCTTCCTTTCTTTTCTTTTTAAGTAATGAAATTGTTTCTCTGTACCAAAGTTCGAGCCAAACAAAAGAACCCCATTTGTTAATAATCCTTCATTTCTACATTTCCAGCGCTGACGCTCCCCCCTCGTTATCCAAGAACAGAAACAATGAGGACTCTGACCCAATCCCACTCCCAAAACCTCTTCTTCCCCTTCCAAAACCCTAATCCAATCGCAAAATCCATCTCTAAAACCCTAATAGAACCCTCCCCCTCCTCTTATCTCGTCCCTCCATTACTAGTTGCATCCCAAAATTACAGCAGTCTTCATCTTGATCACCATCAACAGCAGCAGCAACAGCAGCACAAAAACCTCCTCATTTGATACCGGTAGTTTTTACAAGTGCAAATCATTAATTGATAGTTTATTTATCTGTACTGTGTATGATATAATGAATGTATTCTTATCTTTTAAGTTCCCAATAATTTGATCCTTAAAGTATTGATGGTATTATAGTTAGCCCATGATTTTTTCCCCTTTCAATTTCATGAATGTTCTATGATCACATAATACTATAGAAGCACTTCTCCACTTTATCCATCTGGGTTTAATTTTATGAAACATATCTTTCTTGGTCACATCTTGATGCTTGGTTGCTCCTAAATACCTAAATTGCAAAAACGATTTCTTCGAGATGTATTCTTTTTACTAAGTTTGTCATTTTTTTCTAATAAAGGATATGAATCATTATGATTATTCGAGAGTGTAACAAAGTAGTATATTTTTAAGATGGCCTTATCTGCGTAGCCATCTCGTCTCTTATACCCGTCAAAATATTCTATTTTTAAGCTGATGACTTTTTCTACACACATGGCATGCATGGGATCTAGTTTTCGGAAATCGTTGTCTGTGTCCGTATTGCAACGTACCTGTACCCGTTTCCGTGCTTCAAAGTTCATAACTTATGCATAAAGATAAGGAGATGAAAGTAGTTCTTGCAAGAGCTATTAGAATATTATCCTTGACTAAATAATCTGTTAAAATAACATACCAAAACATGTAGGTTCCAAATTTCTTTTGTCAGCTTGATGTTCGCTAAGTTGATTCAGCTAAATTGAAAAGTAAAAAAAAAAAAAAAAACTTTTGGTTCTCCTGAGATTTTGAGAATTCTGGGACTTTCCAAGGAACATATTCGTTCAGCTCACATGTTCAGGAAATTCGAAGCAAGGATCTGAAGTCTTTCTGCTTCAGTGTTGAAAAGAGCCCTGCTTTTGGTTGTTTAAGCGGTCTGCGAAGCAGAAGCTGTGTCCACCGCTGTGCTTTCATCGAAAGCGGCCAAAGAAAGTGGATGTGGCGCTTTCTGGTAGAACATGCAGTAAGCTGGTATAAGTATTGTTGAGCGCTTAACAGTGCTTTAAAAATATAAATATGAGTTTTTATTATACCTGTCTTGACCTCGACCCAGACCCATTTTCTTATGTAAAATCCTCTACTTCTCTCTCTCTCTCTCCACTTTTGCAAATCGAGAGGAAAATAAACCCGAACTCCAACTCTTTCTCCAGCCACCTAGTCCAATACCTCTGGCCAACTCCGTCGCCTCCCCACAAAAAATCCGCGTCCAAATTCGCCTTCAAACGCTTCTCCAGCAACCTCCTCCTTAACCATCACCATAACGACATCACTTTCTTTTGAGCTCCTCATCAAAACTTATCATCAACATCTGCAGTCAAAGCTCCTCCACCTCTTTGTCCAGTCGAAGCCACTTCCTCATATCAGTAAATTTTACCGACAATACACTATAAATTATGTCATTAAACTTATTTTAAACAATGATGATAAGAAATAATTGCAGAAGTACATGAACAAGAGCACTCATTTCAAATATGTACTTTTTAATGTGAACTTCATGAAATCAAGAGAACCTGACTTCACCATTCTACTGTTATATACATAAAAGTTGAAGCCCGTTTATGTTCTACTTAAAACGTGGAACAAAATGTTACATGGAAAAGATCTCTCTCTCTTATATATATATATATATAGGGAGGGAGGGAGATTTTATATTAGTCTTCCAACTCTTTAAGTGATTTGGGTTCAATTGCTCTAGTTAGAGGCTGAGAATGTTCTGTCATCTTTATCATCTTTTTGGGTGCAACTTCAGTTATACCCATATACGTTCAAATCAAAACCCCAAAAAAAGGCTTCACAGGAGCGCAAATTAGGAAACTATTATGCAATGTCCAGACTTAAATCTGGTGATTTTTGGTTGATTTGATAATTTGGTAATTACCTGTCCCTGATTAACAATTATGCAATAATGATTAGTAACAAGTTAGATGGTAAATATAACAAAAGCACAAGTTACCAACTCCTCAAACGATTTGGGGAACTAACTCCAAGTTGCAGAGATTTTGGGGACTATTTTCAAATATGAAAGATTTGGGGACTAATTTTAAATATGAAAGATTTGACTCCGCCAATGGCTTTATACATTATGAAGTTGACAAAATTGTTTTAACTAAATAAATAAGGTTTGAAAATCAAGGAAGGATGCCATGGAAAATTAAAGATTTTGACTTTTGGAAAGTAGTTTTAGTTTTCTTGATAAGCTTTGTTAACCTTAAAGTTAGTAGTGAGAAGAGGGATTACATTTTTTGAATTATTAGACTTGATAGTATTAGTTGGCTTGCCATGCGACATTGGAACTGATACCAATTTTATATTTTAATCTGAAACTATTGTGTATTATTTTTATGAGGAATAATGTTATGAAAAATATTATAGAAAGTATTTTAGAGTCCAATTGGTCTATTTCGACCACTGTAGCTATGTATGGTATAATACCTTAGTCTTTAGGCATTGTTACTAGAATATTATAAAACATATCCAGGCAAGTTCTCTAGCCTCAACAAAGAATATCTCTTCGGGAGAATTCTAAATTATCATATGTCTTCCAACTTGAGAAATGTGAACCCGATAAGACTATAAGTCCAAACCCATGCACTTGCCATAAATACTTTTACTATCGCCTAAATAAGCAAGTGATGCAGAAATCACTGCCTTTTCATGTAAGATTAACAATCACTGTGATCTTAAAGGATATAACATTTAAAATTAGTGTTGGATAGAAGGGGAAATCGTCAACAAATTATAATGATTAAACTGAATAGATCAAGCATTTGTGTTCAAAAGAATCTCCTATGTTTATATATGCTACAGGTTGATGGTCAGAAGAAATCTCAACAAGGATTCCATAGTAAGTTCCAGAATGACAAATGGTTGAATTATGCGACATAAAGGTATTTGGCTAAATTCTGGTCAAGGCGAAGGTATCAAAGATCTCAAAGAGAGCTTGCTTTACTTTGATAAGGTCATGGTTGCTGCTAATTTATTGAGTTTTTATCCTTTGTTTACTTGCTTTTAATAGCATTTTCGGTAATAGGAAATCTATAAGTCTTGGCAGTTTCAAGGTAAAATGCGTAAGGTTACCTCAAACTTTCTGTTGTCTGCGAGTATTTTAGTATGTCTTTTTTTACCATTTATTTCCTAAATTTATTTTTGAAGAACAGTACTTTTTTGGCATGCGGTGTTGATGGCTTCTAGAGAATTGTCCATTTTACCCTTAGCAATATTTCTAGGGGGTATGTTTCTCCGAACTTTTCAAAGGTATAAATATCTCATTTTGGAATGGGAAAGAATTAGGGTTTTCTCTTAAGGGTATCTCTCCGCCGACCTGAAAGCTTGAGATCAAATACAGAAAAGGAGCAAATAGAAGGAAGATTCCACTTTTAAAGTGTGAATGCTAGGTAATCTCTTGCCCAAAAGAGGATTTTTTCCCCAAATAATTTTGCATAGATCTGCTTAACAAGGTAAGATTTTTGATATTTACTTTAAAGTTTTTGTGTTTAGAGGATGTATCTTTGTATTGATTATTGTATATCTTTTTAGAAAAATATATTTTTTCATGCAGATGAAGAAGTCCTTCCCATTCCTTGGAAATATATTGTAATTTATAGGGTCACCATCTAATTGAAGAAATTTTAAATAAATTAATCCTTCCCTTTCTTTGGAGATATATTGCAATTTTTATAGTCACAATCTAAATGAAGACCTTAAAAGAAAATACAGTCAAATTTAAGGTTAATTTAGAGGAACCTTTTTCTGCAAATAGAAAAGTCAAAATATTAGAAATTTAAGGTCTTTGTAACTGAATATTGGGGTATTAAACTCCTTGTAAGGGAGTATGAGGGTTCTCTAAGCATCCTCTTGTAATGAATTGGCTTCTGAGAATAACTGAGGCCAACTATAAACGTTTAAAGTATTAACTTGATGAACCTTTGTACTAGATCAGATTAATCTAGAATTAGCAGACACATGCATCTTGAAATTTAATACATTGCCAGTTCATTATCATAATTGTTCTATGTGGTGTTCTATTGCTCTAGATATATTCTGGTTTGTTGTATTTTTCTCTTGTTGGGGTAGCTTAACTAAGTTGTGGGTATTACTCTTGACTGGATTTTATATTTTTGTTGCGGTGCTCTTGTTTTCCTTTTCCCTTTCTGTAAATGATAGAACCGCACAAAAATTATTAACCAATGATGAGAAGATCATGTTTACGCTGTCATTTGGCATTAAAGCAATACTTAAAGTATCTTTTTTCCAATTGTTTTTAATATTTTGATTTAATATTTCATTTTCTTTAAAATCTTGTTTACAATCCTATTAAGAACCTTCCTATTCAGTGCTGTATTTGATGTATTGTTGAAGTTTATGAAATCAATGCATTGAAGGTGTTCAGATGTACTTGTGAAGCCTTGTATTTTTTCCCCCTTCGAGATAGGGAGCCTATACTCTTAGAAATGTTGTGTTTTCAGTTTTCTTCACATGTCGACAATTTTTGATAAGGATCCTTGCAACACTGTTGCAACACCGATAAGTTATGATACATAATTTATTCAAAGGAGAAAGCAAATGAAAGAGGGGAAAAAAATAGCTGCTTAAGCAGGAAGCTTTTATGATTACTTTCTATTCGTTCTCCCTTTTTTCAATCATTGTCACAAGCTTCCGTTTGTTTTGTGGACCATAAATATTAATTCTATGGGTTTATTTGTAGAGTGGAGGCTGGTGTGTTGTTGACGTGATGCAACAGCCTCCATCTACTCCTATTTGTGTACCCATGATTTTGATATGATGATTTTTTGCTTGACAAGGATGATAAGCGGAGAGCCCCCAAAGTTTGGTTTCGAGTGTAAAAAAAATAAAAATATGGCAGAAAGTCACGATCTAATCAACAAACTCCCCCCAGAGTGCCTGATGCACATCTTCAGCTTCCTTGAATCGTCACGGGATCACTGTGCCAGTGCTGCAGTATGTAGGAACTGGCTGAAGCTTCTGGTTGAGTTGATTATTCTCAAAGTTAGATCAATTACTTATGACTATTCGGGCACTATACCATTGTGTCGTCGGCTCGAAGGGAGGTCAGCTAATGATATTACACTTACTAATTTAGGTGTGGGGACCTATCCTCTTCATCACTTGACTTCTCTTTATCTTGGCAATGTTCCTTTTGTTGGGATCACTGATGATGGCCTAAAGATTATTGCACAACTAAGCCCCATGCTTGCGTCTCTTACTCTTCGGAACTGTCATTCTGTGGGAAATGTGGGATTAAAGTCTGTTGCTGAATTTTGCCAACAGCTTGAAAAGCTAGAGCTGATAAATTCGTTTATTGATGATGAAGGGATCATGCCAATAGCTGAGAATTGCTTACATTTGTCTGCACTGAGCCTAGAGCACTGTCCTCGGATTAGCAATGAATCGCTGATGGCATTCGCAAACAAGTCTTTGCATCTTAAGTCCATCACCTTAAGAGACTGCGTACTTATTGAAGATTCTGGTATCTTTTCTCTCATATCTAGTCAACCAGAGTTGACGAGGATCAAACTTCTCTCTATGAATGTCGGTAATGAAGTTCTCAAAGCAATACAAGAGCATGGACGGGCTTTGAAGGTGTTTTACTTAGAAAAAGTTCCATATGCGGGTGAGAATCTTTATCAATGGATTGAAGCAATTGGAAATCTTGAAGCAGTTATTCCTCGTCCTTATGCCAGTTTTACAATAAGGAGCTTGGCCCGCTTAGAGATTTTGGAAATGGAGAGTTATTTTTCGTTAAGTGATGATTTTCTGTTAGCAATGAGCCAAATGACGAAGTTTCTGCAAAAATTCAAGCTAAAGAAGTGTCGGGGATTCACCTCTGGAGGAATTCTTGCAGCTGTCGCAAACTGGAGCCATCATTTGGAGGTAATATCATTGAATAACTGCATTATAGTCAGTAAACAAGAAGTGACACAAGAACAAGCCTTTCGGAACTTCCCATCATTTAGATCCCTCAAATTGATAAAATGTGAAGGAGTTGATGACTGCTTCTTATCTTCATTGGGGCCTGTGTGCAAGCAAGCGAAGCATATTACCTTGGATGAGATAGATTCTATCACTGACCGAGGACTCCAAGATCTTGTAAGACACAACACTGATCACTTGCTTCAGTTTTTACATCTGGATGGCTGTATAGGAATCAGTGATGTGGGTTTATGTTCAGTGCTAAGGACTTCAGGCAGAAATATCCAGTTCTTGAGTGTGGATGATTGCACGAGTATTACTGATCAGAGTTTGATGACGATGGCAGAGAATTGTGGGAAACTAAAAACTCTTTTTGCATCCGGCTGCAGAGTCAGTGACAATGGGGTGTTTTCTGTGATATTTAATTGTGGAAAAACTATAGAAACTTTGTCATTTTCTCAGTGTACGAGGACCACTAGCAAAACTGTGAGTTATATTGAGACAATGGGTACCAGACTTGTGCTTCAGCTGCCCTCAGATTGACGGGAAGGCCTCCGACTTACTTTGGATTCAATAGCTAGATCGAGAGGTGAGCCACTACTACAATTCATAAACTTGCTTTATTTTTTCGCTTAATATTCTGAGTATCGGATATCTTGAGCAAATCAAATAGGACATGTCTTGTCCACTAGGATATGTTGTTGAGTAATAAACTGTCGTCAGGGTTTGAATTGGAGGAAGCCATCATATCATGTACCAAGTATAACTATTTCCTTTTCTCCTTTTATGGCGGGAAAAGAAATTGTAGAGCTTTTATGGTTGAGCATAGTATTCAAGTTTCATGAACACAGTCTGTTGTTCGTAGGTTGCATCATAGTACACCCTGTTATAATATAGGAAAACAGAATAGTTTTTTGGATATTAGTCCCTTTAATCTTCAATAATTCCATATTATTCCCTCAAATCTTTCAAATTGCTCAACTATCACAGAGAATAGTTGATTTTATAATATATTTTTTCCAAGCAACAGTAGCTAATTAAGACAATATTATAGTGGAGATATTTCAGAAAAGTGACCATTTTGACATAAACTATTATTCTTATGGGTGAATGAAAAATAATATGAGGATAAATAGATTAAAGAACTTATGAGCTTAAAGACCTCCAGGAGCAATTTCATCATTGTTTGAGTTCAGTCTAGTTCGGAATTTCTTCAAATCTTGTGGGTTTTCAGTAAACAATATAATAAAGTTGTTTTTCTCTTCAGAAAATACGAGACTAACACTGGTTTTATGTTAATGGCAGAGTGCTCATTTATGATCCGATGAAATCTAGTGCATCCACTGGCAGTTCCGCTGGTTTTGGCGGTGATAGCCCTTTCTCCATTTATGGTTTCTGGAGTTGTTACTGTTTGTGTCCTTTTGCTTAGGTTTTATTGTGGTGCTTTTATTCAGACAATTGATGGACATGCCTTCGCTTCTGTTATTTTGGTTATGTGGTGTTGTTGTTGTTGTGTGTTGCATTTGCTTGTTTAAACTCTTTGACTTAAATATGGTAATGTGCTTTGGATTATATCCTGTTGTCAAAGGTGAAGAAGCTGATATTTATTTTATCTGAGTCTTTCTATTATCATGTTGTTTGCATGGTACCGTGATGGAGCTTGCGGCAAAACTAATTCTAGGAAAGAATGCAGATTTGTGGCTAAACATAATGGAGGTAGTCCTTGGTTGGATGAAAGAATAAGATTAATTGTTGTTGTTGTTGTTGAGAGAATGCAGGTTTCTGTGGAGATAATTTCTGAGGCATCTGCATTTGTTTTGTGATTTGGCAAGGGATGTTTTGTGCCATTTTGATTTTGATTCTTGATGAAAAGTGTCTCTGATTGTGATGCCATTTTGATCTCCAAGTTACTGCAATAGTTAGGTTTGGGAGGGATATCATTAACTGTAAGAGCGAGTTTTTGTGTTGTTTCATGTTCTTGGTTGCGCGCGCATCCATCTCGCTAGTTAGTTATAATGTGGTTATGTTGATGATCCAGATTGTGAAAAGGTTTGATATCAATGTTAGCGACATACTAATCAAGAGCATGAAGGGACATACCAGCCTCTGTTTACTCTAATTGAAAAAAATAATATCACTTTTAGTAATGTTTTAGGGTTAGTACAAGCCTATTGAGAAACATGACTAAAATTACTTCTCAATTAATACAAGATCTTTAGTTTTAGTTGTGTTTTTCTTTTGACTAGTTTTGATACACGTGCAATGCACATGGTAATTTTTTATTTATTATAACATGGTTATAAAAATTTGCCGCGAGGAGACGGTAAATGTTCATGTGGTTGATCATTGCACAGAGCTCAAGATGTGCAGTGTTTTTTCTCCTGATTTTGCCCACATTGCATCACATGGGAATGGAAAGCAAACTCTTAACATTCAGATTTGTTCAATGAGTACACTGAAAGTTGCAGTATATAACACATGCTTCTAAGAGTTTCATATATCAAAATGAATGCAACCTTTGATATAATACTTCTCTCCTGAATCAAAAAAGACTTTAATTTGTCTGCATGAACCAATCAGATATCCTGAAGGAAAACCTAGAGGTAGAATTATTTTGACAATATGATTTCAATAGCATAACAAAAAGCAAGAAATATGATTTGGCTTCTCAGGTTTCTTACATTGTTTTAGTCTATTTACAAGGCAATGTAATCTGATTGCACCGAGAAGATGCATACAAATATTTACACCATAATCATACTTAAATATTCTTTACAAAGGAATTGAGGTCTCATCAGCTAGGGTAGTCTAGATGATAAAGATCTCGCAATACATGACGTTGATCCCCTTTGTTAGTGTCTCTTCTGATCAAAGAATTTGCACCATGTCATGAGAAATTATAAATGCCATGAGATATTATAAATAACAAACAGAAACTCGAGGAAGAGCGCAAAGCATCAAGGAAGTGTCCTTTGCTCAGGCTGTTGCCTTCGATGGCGTTTATTGTCAATAACGGAAGGAATTGCATCAGAACCCTAGAATTGCCATCTAGCAATTTGACAATCCCAAGAATAGCTCACAAGCATATGGTTTATGGATGCCAGCTACAGACTCTAATCACAGCGTTATGAAAGGTGATTTTTGCAACTTGGTTTCCAGTCACCTGAAATAGTGTCAAGATAAACAAATGTCAAACATCATCTCATAACATTCTTATATATCATCACGTTGATATTCTATGAAGCTTAACAACTGGGTAATGTTTCCTTACCCACAATTTGAACTGGCTAACTTCTTAAACCCACATCAGTTCTTAATTGCAGATTGGCCTCCAGTGTCATCACCCAATTGCACACAGACCCCATTGTAGTTGTATGGTTGAGAATAGACCCCCTTGTACTATCACTGAACTGTGATTAGACCCCTGAGTGAATTCGTTTTTACCCTCAGGAGGCATAGTTGTCCAAAAAAAACAATTTCCTCCTTTTTTGGTGGTAAAAGGGTAAAAAAGTCACTCTGAGGGCCTATCTCCAATAATAGAACTACAGGGGATCTATGCGCAATTGGGCAATGGTACAGGGTGTCTATCCACAATTAACCCAAAAGAAAACCAAAACATATTGTCTCAATATTAGTTTTTAGTATTAAAATTTTATAATAAAAGATACTAATTACGTTTAGTGAATCATAGTGTGAATTTTTGGTAGTCCAACGAAATTTACAACATTTCAATACCTGGGAAAAGATTATCAACAGAATTATATGTGGAAGCTCAATCTCAATACACTTGGCAACCTGGGCAAACAAAAGTATCAGCCAACTGTAACAGATCTTCTACCACATCTTATGTAAATTATACAATAAACAATCTCAAAAGGTTCACAGCACAAACTTGTGAACAACAATGACAAGTCTGCAAATAGGAAAAAAAAAGTTTCGAAAAACAAAATGATGCTTACACTGAGAAAGCCTAACTCATAGAGGCCAAATCCGGATAAGGCAACTAAAGGAACTGCTGATAGTTGACTCACAAATCTGAATTGTAGAAAAATAAACAAATAAATAAATGTCTATAAACAAAAAAATTTGTAGGTTGGTATAAATGCAATGCATGGTAGAGATTCATAACTAACCTAGTGACATTAAGCCAAAGGCCACTGAAGTCTGAAGTGTTGAAGCTACATTAGAGCACATTGTGTTCCTCGCATTATATGTAAGAATTTGTAGTACAAAATGAAATATATAATTTATCTTCAAAATATTAACATAACTCTCACTTCCTTTCATTAATTTAACAAAGTACAGACTACAGAAGTACATACCACATCATAAATATAAACATGCTTGTCATGGGATCCCATGTAAATATATCTCTGGCTATTGCTGAAACATTGATGAAGATAAATACATAAATAATGCAAATTAAACGGACATCCTTCAGCTAAAAAGTAATCAGTGTCTTTGAAATCAGAGAAACATGCTCTATTGCTCCGTTACGTTTGAACTCAAACTTATAGCTGAATTATCACCATAAACCAAACTAACAATAAAATGCAGTCAGATTCCTCCTCAAATAATTATTCCCCCTCCATTCCCCCAATCTACAAAACAAAATAAAACTGTAAACAGTGCAATGCTCAGAGCTGAGAACATAAAATTTATTGAACCCCAACAACGAATTTACTAACTTTTCCATATGACTGATAATCAAATCCAATGTTGAAAATAGCGATAACGCATAGCGTAACGCTTACCTCTAGTTAGGTTACAATAGCGATAACGCATAGCGTAACGTAGGTTAAATAATTTATTATTATTTAAATAGTTTATAGATATAAAACATTCAAAATAAAAAAATATGAATAATCTTCGCAATTTTCAATTTCACAAATCAATATATCATCACAATTTCACAACAAAATCAATCATGTTTGCCTTAACAATCAATCCCAAAGCATAAAATACTTCAAGTTCGAAACCAAAAAGGATCCAATGATCCATAAACTATGAAGTATGAAATTATTGGGTTGGGTTGGAATCCATGAGTATGAAATTATGAATCAAGTTGTAATGAAAGGATCCAATGATCCATAAACCCAAAACCAAAAGCATGCTTATGTTTGGACAAGGCGGCGCGAAAAGGGGGAGCTGCAGGCTAAAGTAGCAAAGAAAAAGGCATGAAAAGGGGAAGGGGAGGCGGAGCTGCAGGCGGTGTGAAAAGGGCGTGAAAAGGGGAAGGGGAGGCGGAGCTGCGGGCAGCGTGAAAAAGCCGTGAAAAGGGGAAGGGGAGGCGGAAAATAACCTAAGTTATAACTCAATCACAGCCATTCATTTCTTTTAAAAGCAATCTAAGCCATTGACAAAATAACCTAAGTTATAAAACGTTACGCCGTTACGTTACGTAACTTACGTTATAGCTAAAATAACGTGCGTTATTTTGTCTTTGCGTTATTTTCAAACGTTACGTAACGTTAAGCTACCGTTACGTTACGTTAAGCGTTATTTTGCGTTACGAAACGCGTTATTTTCAACACTGATCAAATCTAATATCGGCCATCTATGAGTGATGTTAACCAAGTGACAAGAAACAAAAAAAAATTTAAAGAGCTTGATACCTGTGCACAAGCTCAAAAATCTCTTCAAGTTTGTGCAAAACTAAAAAACCAGTATCTTTGTTACACATTTTCTTTCTTTGTACTCTATCATAAGAGCTTTTTGTTTAGAAAAGAAATTTGAAGAGCACAGGCATGGAGCTCGATGCTTGGAACAAAATGAACCTCTAAACCACTTGAATCAGTTGTGTACCTCATATATGGGCTAATATAGATAAGGTAATCTTTCTTCAAAATCCAACTTAGTAAAGTCGACAACATGAGGGAAACTATCAGTAATACCGCATTAAACACCATCATAAGCTATCTGACTAATTCATTAGGATAATAGTAAAGATTAGATATATGTACCTCCTAAATCCAGTTCCATTTTGACAGTAACCGCATAAAGAGGCAGTACATGTGTCTTGACATCTGGATACCAGACAATATACTTTGAAGGAGCTTGCTGGTTATCTACACCAGAATCAAAATCTCCAGAACTTGGACCTGATTGTCAGTAGCCAGGAAGTATCATCTCTGTTCTTCCCAAGATTACATGACAGATCACCATATGCTTCAGCCCATCTTCACTAATTGGTGCGGAAATAAGGCTGCAAACCATTTAGCATGAACGTTAAGTTAATGTAATTACTAAAAGTCTGGAAAATTGTATTTGTTAGAATTCGAGGAATAAATAGAATTCAAGTATCTGTTTTATACATTAATATGTCTATAATCAGATACTTATATTATACTGCATGCAGAAACAAGTATTAGTCATGTACTATGAAGTGGTTAATGATAGGCTGTTTTGATGATTTCTATTGATATTATTTGTTGAATCACATGTAATTCATCCAAATTTACATTTTTTGTGTTTTCCCAATTGTAAGCATGTAATTAACAATACAGTATTTTTTAGCTAAAAGTGGTTTTGTTGAAAGATACATCAAGCTACATTCATGACGACGAATATTGACTATTATCCCCTATTTTCATGTTAGACTTCTTGTTCATTGTTATCTTTTGAATATATTCCCGATAGTAATAATTAGCCACAGGATACATCACTTTTAAACAGAGAGAGGTAGTATTTGTAAAGAATTTGATTTAAGAGCTGAAATAGAGCTTTGGAAGGAAATACAAAGGGGATTGGTAAACCTTTTGCTTTGATGTCTTCCTTATTTCCTTTTCTTCTTAAGGCATCTAAATGATTTATAATTCAAACCAGGTTGTCAAGAATCCGTGCTTGAGGAAGCTGGCATTACATATATTTAAAGTATCATTTTACAACTATTTTTTTTACAACCACACCAACTGTCAATACTTGTACAGTGCTTCAAATTTTGTTGCTGCTGATTCGGTTGTGTGTACTACTTCATGTAATGGAACGTCATCACAGGCTTACATCACAAAGAGAGACATGTGGGCTGAAGAAGAAGCAAAGTTCTTGTGAGTTGGAGAGGTATTGCATCCAGATGATGGGTATTTGAGTAGTCAAGAAAGATGGAAGGTCTTTTTAATGTTGTGTGAAATGCTAGAGGAGTATGGAACACATTTAGTTGAAGATGCTTTAAACTTCATATTCAAGCATTTGTTTGTTAGATTGGCAGGAAAATACTGTATTTATGAGTTCCGCCATCAGTTCAATTTCCAATTTTTCAGGCATGATGATTTTATGTTTCCTACAGTACGACGGGTAATAGTTATAGTTATTTATGCTAAGACTTCCCTTGTTGCTCTCTAATTTCTTTGAAGGAAAATATGAAATCACTCTATATTATGGCTAGTTAAATGCAACCCCCTTATCTAAGCTTATAACTTTGTCTTTTTCCTATTTATATGTCTTCTTTTTTGAAAGGAAAATGAACAAGAAATGTTTTCATAAAACATTATCAACTATCAACTGGTTAATCAGATCTTTTTTAGCAATAATAAATTTCACACTTATATGTCAAAAAGTTTAGACTTCTAAAATAAATTTTAAATAAATTAGAGTTGTTCTTTTAATTTATTTTTTAGATTCATTATATATTGGTCGTATATTGTCATTTATGTAAGAATAACCTTTTGTGTAGCACACATTAGAATGTCCTAAAAAAAATAATTCAGCATATATTTCGACGCAAGTGTTTGAATAAGCAAGAAGTTAATGAAACCACCTTAAAAAAAAATAATTCAGCATATATTTCGACGCAAGTGTTTGAATAAGCAAGAAGTTAATGAAACCACCTTAAATAATGATATTAAAAATTCTTTTTTTGTGAAGTTACAAATTATAACCTACGGTTTCTCAACATTAATCCTAATAGCATAGCAAGTGTTTGAACAATCTAAGAATTTCCAAAATAAAAATCTAAATCTAAATTTAAAAATTAATCATGACATACCATAAATTATTCTCTAAAAACCTTGCTCAATTTCTTTGATCCCATGTACTTTATTATTAATGCTAAAGATACCATGTTGAGATGTGGTTACTTGATTTGATGTTAGTTTGTTTGTAAATCATATTAGGCACCTTATGTAAATATTTCCTGCTTGACTTGGCTATATTTGCAGTTTTGAGCGCAGAATTGCATGCAGTGAATTATAGAGGGTAGCCCTCGAGCTGTGCAAGTAGCACATGGAGACTTTCTATAAAAAGTTTGGTGTGATTTGATTTATTTTAGTTACTTTCTCGCACTAAAAGATGTATCATTATGTGTTATGCAAAAATAATGCAATGATCTTGTTTTCCAAGATCAATGGAAAGTCCACAGACTATAGAAACCAAAATTCTGTTGGTCAGGTTTGGTTACTGTACAACATAGTTTGTGCATAAATATTTGGGATATATTATGGTTTTGTTTGCTCAGCCATTAATCAAATGTTTACTCTTGTAATTATATATATTATTATTATTTCTCAATAATATGTATATATATTGCAGGCTATTGCAAGAAATCGCCCTCCATCAGATATCATTGAGTCTACATCTGTTGCAGGACCAGGTTTTGTGAATGTAGTTCTGTCAAGCACATGGGTGGCTCAGGTTGTGTTTTACGAGGATTACAAGCACTTTATTTTTTATTATATATAAACTGGAACGCGCACATTCTTTTTCTAATTCTACTCTAATTTCACTATGTTTTATTGTGTAGTATATTCAAAATATGCTATTGAATGGTATCTAGACAAGGGCACCACTTTTATCAGTTAAAAGGGCGGTAGCTGACTTTTCTTCACCTATTATTGCAAAAGAAATGCATGTTGGTCATTTAAGGTCAACTATAATTGGAGACACTTTAGCTTGAATGCTGAAATTCTATAAACTTGATGTTCTACGACGGAACCATGTTGGTGACTGGGGTACACATGTGCATATACTCTTTGGTGACTGTTTCTTACTCTTAAAATTATTGATAAGTCTCATAATATGCTTGGTATAACAAAGGGCAAGGTTGGGTTATGAACATGAGCTTGCAGGCAAGGATCAGATTAGCAAATTAGTCTCATAATATGCAATTCTTCGTGAGCGTCAGCAACACTTTCATATAGTTCATTTTAAATTTAACTAATACTATCATCTTCCGTGAATCACTGTAGTTTTTTATTTATCACTTAGTAAATAACACAGTTGTTTTAAGTAAATACAAATATTATAATTGAAGTGTCTAATGGAGTGAAGAGAACCAAATTCTGATACAGATGTGAAACAAATTGTTTTCAGAGTTTTATATCACATGAAGAAGTAAAAATATTCTTGTAGAAAATCATAGTCTAGCAAGGATCTTAATCTTAACTTATTAAAAGAGTCCATGTGGAACCTTTGAGCAAAAGAGGACTCGGAGACAAAAAAAAATTTCTAATGCACTCATTCCAACATAAACATCATGCATGCATGCAACAATCTATTGTGCTTTTGTTTAATGACATCTACCGTGCTATTGTTAATCAAACTATGAATTCTTTTAAGCTTTATTTCATACCGCAAAGTTTAGTACTAACAAAACCAACCTTTATGTGAAAAAGCCTGGTAAAAAGTTTTCATTTAAAAATAAAACAACGAAAGAGCAAAAAACTATACAAGATATGAGTGGGAAATACGCACATCACATCAACGTTAATTAATTTCTTTCCATATATATTTCTATGGTTAGTGCAAACTGTAATGTAGTAATACACCATGCAAAATATTTGAAGTATGTAGAAAAAAAAGAGGAGTATCTAAAGTATGAACGCCTTCATCCAAACTGAATCATGTAACCTCCTAATTGAACATTAACACGGCTAGCATTTGACGCTTGAAAAAACGACCCAATAAATGAAATGATATTATGATATTTGAACACAATTGAGAATCAAGATACAAGTATTAAAAAATAAGATCAAAGCGTGCGATACCTTGCGGTACAGATTCACAACAAAAACCAAGCTAGCATTTTTACTTCATTTATGAACTGCTCTCAATTTCTATATACTAAATTTTCAGGCCTTTCACATAAAAAGCAAGCAGAAGCAAAACAATTCTAACGTATTAGTTTTTCTTTTTCCATCAAAAATTTATGTAGCTGAATGCAAAGTGAGAAACATCTAGTATGACAATTTTCTTGAAAGTGAGAATCCTTAAAGAATATGGTTCATTGAAGGTCTATTTGTATCAATCATGGTGATAAAATCAATTGTTATGATGTAATAATATATCCTCATGTTTTTAACTGCTTTTAATGTGGGAACATTTTTAAAAAATTCTGAAAGGGAAATTAGTGATTAAACTGTTACAGTCCATTTAACAGAACATACGGGGGGAAAACTCAGTGCATATATCAAATTATTCAACTCAAAAAAATGAAGTAAAGCCAAATACAATAACAGTTTAATCATATTCAACAGATATCACTAAAAATACATTACAAAATGCTATAATTGTAAGAGGAAAATCATAAAGATAAAATAAAAACTAATTTACCTTGATAGCTTTCTACTCCTCCAATCAATATCGGACACCTAACAGCAATAATCAATAATCAATCAATACTAAAAATAAAGGTTATCCATCAAACAATCAAACTGAGAATATGAATAAGAAATTACAATAAAGTAATCTGGTAAGGACTTCTTTGTGAAGCATTAATCTAATCTGGTAGGTACAGTCTTCCTCACTGATGAAACAATAAAGTAAAAAGGATTATTAAACGTTTACGATCATGTTTACAGGGAACTATATCAATCTGTCAGAGTTGATGATTGCTTCTGGAACATAGGTTTGTGTACAAACTACTAAGACTCTGTTGGATTTCCTGTGATGTTGCATTATTCTCACTGAAATGTTCTGAATATATTTAACTTTACACAGGATGGGAGGTCATTTCTATACTGTTGACCAAGCAAAATCAAATGGAGTGGTGGAAGTTTTTGGTGAAAGGTGAACCTGAAATTCATACTTAGAAAGTTGAACTCGAGTCTAGCAAATTGTCTGTTTTGGATCCTGAGACTCGGCAAACCAGAGATGTCTTAGCCCGTCCTTGTTCCTAGATATGAAAGTTTTCTTTGTCAAGTGTTTTTTTAAACTCTATAACCAACATAACAGCAGTAGATTCAATACATTTCTATAGATTGACAATGCATAATCATCTAGACACATGAAAATTCCTAAATTAGCAACCATTTGATTAAAAAAACAACGCAAATAAGCACATAAGTACAAAAAAAACAAAAATAACAATTAACAGAAAAAAGAAGAGTCTCCTGTTGAGCGCATGAATAAAATGGGAAAGGAAAATGTTGGTGAAAGAATCAATAATCAATAAGATCAATAATCAATAATAAGAGTAGAAAAGTGCAGGATTAGTTTAAAAGAACTGATCTAACTGAGAAATGGGAAGACCAAGTCCACCCCTCAACACTGAGTGACCTCAAAACTGAAACCTCTTAAGAACAGATGAAGAAAGAACAAACCTTGACGCGGGGACGAGAAAAAACTAAGAATGTCTTGAATCTTCTACTTCTATGTAGTAATAAACAAAATCAGGTAATCCCCTTCGAGAAATTTATAAATCGAACAAATTACTAAAATCAAAATCAAAATCAAATCAAAATTAATAAATTGAACAAGACAAACCAGAAATTTATTAATCTCTTATAAAAATCTTGCACAATTTCTTCACTTCCTGATCCTTCCCTAAAATCTGATATCTGAGGAAACGATGGAAGAGAAGGTTTGAAACTTCCAATTCCATCAAAACAAAACCAAAACCTGAAATCGAGAGAGAAGAGTCGACGAGCAATTTGGCGGCGAAGATGACTGCATCGATCTGAGACGCGCTCCACAATTCCAACCCTAGCCGGGCTTCAGAATCGAGGATTGCAAGGAATCGAAAGAGACCAGACTTGATCGGAGCGGAGCGGAAGAGGTGAGCGAAATCGCGAGGGGGACTGCGATCCTTGAAGAGGTCTAAGAAATTGGATATCTCTTCCATGGCGATGGAGAGATCAGTTCATGAGATGAGTCGGCGAATCGGAGAGGCGACGACGAGGGGTTGAGGGGGGAGAAAAGGGGATGGCGTTGGTTTGGGGGAAAATAAATGAGAAAAAAAACAGAAATCGAAAAAACTATTCGGTACCCAAACACTCCCTTGGTAATTAGATTTGGTGAAAGGCTATTTTGGGGAGGGTAAAGTTTTTTTTAGAACTTCCTCTTTTAAATGGTAGATAGATAGATTTTTTTAAAACCAAAACTTACCCATGTCTTGATGGAGTTTTGTATTAATTTCACTATTTGTTCCCACAAATCAGCATTTTACTTCATTAAATATGGTCTTTTGGGCCAAAAAATAAAAATTGTAAGAATGTCTGTCAAGAATTAGTCTTTTAACTAACCATTTCAATTTATCTATCGTTGCCATTTTCTGGGTATTTTAAATAATTTCAAACTTGGGCTCAGCCCAATAGATCATTAGGCCCATTAAGATAGCCCACTTATAAATATCCTTGATTTTTAGCTAACTGTTCCCTCGTTGTCTAAAGCACAAGCCATGAGAACTTCGATCCAATCCCACCCCCAAAATCTCTTCCTCCCCTTCAAAAACCCTAATCCACTCCCAAAACCCACCTCCAAAACCCTAACAAAACCCTCTCCCTCCTCTTCTCTCATCCCTCCATTACGCGTTTCAAGCCAAAATCACAGCAACCCTAACAAAACCCTCTCCCTCCTCTTCTCTCATCCCTCCATTACGCGTTTCAAGCCAAAATCACAGCAATCTCCATCTTGACCACCATAATCATCATCAGCAGCACAAGGACCTCCTGGTTGAGACTTTTCACAGCAATCTCCATCTTGACCACCATAATCATCATCAGCAGCACAAGGACCTCCTGGTTGAGACTTTTCACTGTAACAAGATCCTCAAAGATTTGATCGAAGAAGTTTCCATCGAGGGATCGGACCCAGTTTGGATTCTTGAGAGGGATGGGGATTGGAGTAAGGAGCAGCTCTGGGCTGTGGTTGTGCTGCTGTTGGAGGAAGAGAGAGTCGAAGAAGCGATTCAGGTTTCGATTTTTAATTTTTTTTTATTTTTAATTTTTTCCTTTGAGAAGATATAATGCATTTAAAGCTTTTTTAAGGGTAACCCTTTTGAAATGCTGAATTATATAATATCTAATGCTTTGAAATCTGTTAAACTATTTGGTTAATTTAGTTGTTAAAACTTCTTTGTGTAGTTTTGTGTTCCTATGAGATGTAGGACTTTGGCATACAGAATTTTTGCCGCAAACATTTTTAGATTATTTAATGGACTTAAATTGATCTTATGAGTGAGCCATTTGAGCCCTGGGTCTGTGCTTCCCACATGTGCCATTTTTCAATAATTTCCTTGGTTTTTTTTGAGTTGCTTCCCATGATGTTGGATGGCTTACGGGGGGTCCAAGTTCATTATACTAGACATGAATGTACCACGAACGACACTTGATATTGATAGTTTCATATGTCCAGTCATTGACATCATATTCTTGTTATGTGATTGTGCTAGTTACTCTTGTTGTGCGCAGCGGAAATTTCGGCAGAGTTTCTGGTGCACAATAAGAGAGAAAGATCGATAAGAATTCTTGTTTCTCAAAGGGAACAAGAATCTGAAAGCCTAATATCTCATCAAAGTGGGATATTAGCTCTTCCTCTCGTCAGCTCTAGGACTGCGCGTCGAGGGATCCAAAAAACTATTACAATGACCACAAACTCAAACAAACCAATTTTACGTGGTTCGGCAAACTGCCTACGTCCACGGGGCAAGGAGGGGGAGATCTACTATTAGAGGGAGAGAACACAACTAGGGTTTACAATCACTCAATCTAAACCCTCTCACAAACTCTCAGATCCCTCACACAAATACTCTCTCAAATAGATACACAAATCAAAGAACAACTGCAAAAGGACTTTGCTTTCCTCTGTGAATAGCCGCCTAAAAAACCTCTGTACGCTGCCTTGCTTTTCACCTGCACCCAGCCCTTCTCTACTCTCAGCCGCCTTTTCTTTTGCTCTGTACCTTTTCCTCCTCCTACGCACACCCTAGGAGAGAATCATCAACTATATATATAGCATATGATATCGGGTAACCGGGTAATCGGCTTTTGTCTGCTGGGAAAACTCATCACTTCACGTGGTTTTGCATTCACATGCTTCTCGTGGTCCCCACACACAAGCCAGGCCCTTCCCTTCATGCGTTTACCTCCAAAATCCACTAGCTCATGCTAGCCTCCCACACGTATTGAGCTTTGTCCAGGGAACAAAAGAGAGCCCCCTCACGTTTTATGATATCACAATTCTCCACCTCGGCGAAGTTTTTCCAAAACTGAGCCGACACTAACCAAATCAAATGCCTCACTTGTTGTGTCCAGTACGAAGTGAAACAATTCACGACAACGGACTCAATCCAGAACAAGTCGAGAACCCAAATGAGAGTGCAAACTCTCCAAACGTCGGTATCAACTCACCAAATCGATCTCACCCCCATCAAAATCCAAACCGACTGCATCGTAAAGACTGCCTATGTATCCTCTTGCCCAAGGAATCAAGCCGAACGTAGTTCACCCAAATGGCCGCGAACGACCTCAAACCAATAAAAGAGTTCGCAACCCTTCTCCAATATCATCAACTCTGCGGCTGATAGCACCTCCAATGGCCTCAAACACCTCCACCTGAGGCGAACCAATGGCCATATCCAAACTATGTCTGCCAGCTGCACTCGATTCAAAACCCAACTCATCATCTGCACATAAATCCAAATGACTCCCACGCTGTGTCACCTCAGCTGGAATCCCAACCAATGCAGAATGATCTGGAGTAATCTTCACCCAATGTGGAGTAGCATCACTCTCCACCCGCTGTGATACCTCTAAGGTCTGTCCAAAACTCTCCACCTGCTGAGAGTCAATTGGCTTCCTCATCGAAGCCTCAACCAAAGTGACACTTCCAGACCAATCTTCCAATAGAGTTTTACCTCCAATCACAGCAATTGACAACTCTTTAATAGGATGACCCAAATATGTCGAAGCCTCTGTCCAAAAACTCTTCTGCAAACCATTGCTTGACATCAAACACCGATCCTCCTCCAGCAAGGTACGGTTCTCCAAATTTGTCACCCTATCTAGCTGTTCCAAGATTTCCTTTCCAACGAAGTGTCTCGAAATACCGTGAGCTCAGCTCCAATACAGAAATAGGTCCATCTTGTACCTCCCACCAGAATGGAGTACCTTCACCTTTCTGTCTATTACACACTTCTTCAATCTGTTAGAGACTACTAGGACTTTCTCCAATGGGGATTTGGTTGCAACCCAAACACGCCTAGAACAGCCACCAACAAAGGAAACCAAACTTCTATTACCTCCCAATGATTCCCCCTTGGAAGATCCCCAAACATCCACGTGAACTCCTCCAGAACGACCCTTAGCACGGTGAATAGAGGTGCCACACTTCACCTCGGTCTTCTTGCTCACATCAACATGTTCACTGGACTTTAAATTGCAGGTCTTTACACCCTCTTTCAATCTATGCGAGGAATCAATACTGGAATGGCCAAGCCCCAAATGCCGCAGTCTAGTCGAATCAACAGAAGTCGTCAGCTCTCCACCTGCCACTATACCTCCAGTCAAGTAATACAGGTTATTTCTCCTGACGCCCTTCATCAAAATACGAGAGTCTCTCGCAATCTCGAGAACCATGTCCTCAACACGAACCTTCAGACCCTCTCCAACCAAAGCTCCAATCGAGATCAAGTTCTTCCTCAAAGAAGGAACATATCTCACATCGTTTAACTCTCTAACAGTCCCGTCAAACATCTTTATGCGAATTCTTCCTATCCCAAGGATCTGGCATGCACGGTTATCAGCCATGTACACCACACCACTATCCACCAGCTTCTCAAAACTGGAGAACCATTCCCTTCTAGGGCACACATGATAGGTCGCACCACTATCCAACATCCATTCAGATTCCTCCGAATAGCTATCTGTAGGACTGATAGAAAGCGAATAAATAGAAGAGTCAGAATTATTACCATCCGATACGATGTTTGCTTCTGATGATGGTTGCTTCCCTTTTCCCTTCTGCTTATTCTTCATCCATTCGTCGAGCTTTGGGCAGTCTTTCTTCCAATGACCAGTCTCCTTGCACCAAGCACACTGATCTTTTCCTACTCTAGACTGTGACTTCCAATTCTTTCGGTTTGGACCCTTCCCTCTTGCGACCAACGCCTCCGCTACCCGCTCAACTGAAGCCTCCTTATCCTTCTTTCGAAGCTGATAATTCACAAGTGCAGCGGTGACCTCACTATACGAAAGTGATGCCTTCCCATTAATCAGAGTAAGAACGAAGGTCTCATATTCCTCGTCGGCTAAGGAACTCAACAACAACAACGTCTTGTCCTCATCTTCAATTATAACATCCACGTTCGCCAAATCCGCAAGAAGCTTCGTGTAGTGGTTCATGTGATCTCTAATGGAGGTTCCCTTCTTCAACTGGAAACGATAAAGTCTCCTCTTCAAATGCAAGCGATTTTCCACACTCTTGGTCAAATACTTGCTTTCGAGAATCTCCCAAATCTTCTTCGCAAAAGTCTCATTCATCACATCATATTTTAGATCTTGAGTCAAACAAGGCCTAATCACACCACACGCCGTTCGATTCATCTTTTTCCAAACCTTCTCTTTAATCTCATCTGACTTGCCATCTAACTCCAATGTATCCTCCAAATTCTGCGCGTTCAGCGCATCCAAAACCTCGCATCTTCATAATCCAAAGTTGTTTGTGCCATTAAATTTCTCCACATCTATCTTCATAGAGTGGATATTCAAACTCTGAATGGTCTTCGCGCCAGAAGAACCACCCTCGACACCCGAAGCACCTTCTTTCCCCGACATCTTACGCACCAACGAACAAAGAATAGATCCAAAACTGAAAGATAGAGTCTTTACCAAAAGATCCCACCTTTATCACCAACGAAATCCTAAACGGGCCTCCAATTTGATCTACTCCTCCAACCAAACCCTAGATCTGGAATCTGGGCTCTGATACCACTTGTTGTGCGCAGCGAAAATTTCGGCAGAGTTTCTGGTGCACAATAAGAGAGAAAGATCGATAAGAATTCTTGTTTCTCAAAGGGAACAAGAATCTGAAAGCCTAATATCCCATCAAAGTGGGATATTAGCTATTCCTCTCGTCAGTTTTAGGACTGCGCGTCGAGGGATCCTAAAAACTATTACAATGGCCACAAACTCAAACAAACCAATATTACGTGGTTCGGCAAACTGCCTACGTCCACGGGGCAAGGAGGGGGAGATCTACTATTAGAGGGAGAGAACACAACTAGGGTTTACAATCACTCAATCTAAACCCTCTCACAAACTCTCAGATCCCTCACACAAATACTCTCTCAAATAGATACACAAATCAAAGAACAACTGCAAAAGGACTTTGCTTTCCTCTGTGAATAGCCGCCTAAAAAACCTCTGTACGCTGCCTTGCTTTTCACCTGCACCCAGCCCCTCTCTACTCTCAGCCGCCTTTTCTTTTGCTCTGTACCTTTTCCTCCTCCTGCGCACACCCTAGGAGAGAATCATCAACTATATATATAGCATATGATATCGGGTAACCGGGTAATCGGCTTTTGTCCGCTGGGAAAACTCATCACTTCACGTGGTTTTGCATTCACATGCTTCTCGTGGTCCCCACACACAAGCCAACAAAGAGAGCCCTTCACATGCTTCTCGTGGTCCTCCAAAATCCACTAGCTCATGCTAGCCTCCCACACGTATTGAGCTTTGTCCAGGGAACAAAAGAGAGCCCCCTCACGTTTTATGATATCACAACTCTTAGTCTAATGATGAATTCTCTGACAGGCGCATTGTTCAATATGGTAATTGGAAATAGCAAAAGTTGATCATAGTTCAGGGGAACGTGCTTTCCGTGAAATTTCAATCTTTTTAAAAAATAATTGAATATGTTCTCTTCTCCATAAAATTGAGGTCCTCATTTATGTGATACACAGGTGTTTCATTCGTGGAAAAACAAAGAAACATCTCGAATCGCTGGTGCCAACTACACCAAAATCATACATCTGTTGTGTGAAAGAAATTACATGGAAAGAGCACTCTCAACCCTCCATGACATGGAGGAGCATTGTGTTGTCCCTTCTTTGCCAATCTACAATGATATAATTCATGGATTTGCGAGAAAGAAAGAGTTTGATAAGTCAAAAAACATGCTGAGTAAAATGGTAGAGGCTGGTTTGCTGCCTACACCCGAAACATATAATGGGCTAATTCGAGCTTATGGAGATTATAAATTGTATGATCAGATGAGTAAGTGTGTGAAGGAGATGGAATCAAAAGGATGTTTTCCAAATGAGGTTACCTATAATTTTTTACTTGAAGAATATGCTCGAGGAGGACTTTTTGAAAGAATGGAAAGATTGTATAGAACTCTCCAATCAAAAAGAATGAACTTGCAGCCTCACGCTTTGCTCACAATGCTGGAGGCTTATGCTGATCTGGGGATCTTGGAAAAAATGGAGAAAATGTTCCGCAGATTTTTGCATTCAGAAGCATATATGAAGGAAAATCTAATAAGAAAGTTGGCTATGGTTTACATAGAGCATCATCGGTTTGTTCGGTTGGAAGAGTTTGGGAATGAGATCAGTTCCAGAACTGGTAGAACTGATATTGTTTGGTGCATTCTCCTCCTTGCTTCTGCTTGTCTCTTGAGCCGAAAGGGTGTAGAATCTGTTGTTAGGGAAATGGATACGGCAAAAGTTGAGTTTATATTAACCCATACAAATATTCTTGGGCTGTTTTATCTTAAAATCAATGACTTCAAGGCTTTAAATGGCGCACTTTCTCGGATTGAAATGCACAAATTGAAACCCGATATGGTGACTTTTGGAATTCTTTTTGATGCTTGTAAGATTGGGTATAATGGCATCCGTGTGTTGGAAGTATGGAAAAGAAATGGTTATCTAGAAAGAGCGGTGGAAATGAACACGGATCCTCTAGTTTTGGGTGCTTTTGGCAAAGGGTCTTTCATCAGGAATTGTGAGAAGACATACTCCTCTCTTAAATATAAAGGGAAAGAAAGAAAATTATGGACTTATGGGAAGCTAATCAGCTTAGTTTTCGGAGGGAGAAAAGATGGACAAGATAATCTATTGCAAGCTGGAAAGAGATGAAGGAAAGTCTCATGTATGTACCAAACATTATATTTTTCTTTAGGGCATGTGATCTCTTCCTTAGCTAGTAAATGTCTTATATGGTCAATAGTTGGACACTTTCGAGAAAAGAAGCTGCATTGAAGCTATAAATGATTGATCAGGATTCAGCACAGACTGAAGGAGGAGCCGTAGATGCATATAACTGATGATCTTGAGTAAGCTGATTCTACTTCCAGCTATCTTTGTTTCATTGATGTCCTATGCAATAACTATTTTCTGTTGTTTATGTTATTAAGCCTTTTTTGCCGGTATGAATTTGTATTGGCTTCTAGGAGCTAACATCACTAGAAAATTATCAGGCTTGGCCGTTTTCCAGTTTTATGTAAAATTCTCTGAATTGTGAAACATAGTCTTCTTACCAAAACATCTATCAAACAGCCGCATCTTTGTTAAACAAAAGTTGCATTCCGCATATTTGTTAAACAAAAGTTGCATTCTCAAATATAAAAAAGAAACTATTTCTTCTTGATCTGAAAACACAAGGGGGGAAGAAAAGCTATATGTCAAAATTAAACTATTGGGAATGCTAATTTTCCGTTTTGCACAAGTTACCTTCACCATGAATGTTTATTATAACAGGAGATTGAGTTTTGAGTCCAGTGTAAGAATGCTAGAGAAACATGGGCAACTAATCTGATGATACTTGATTTCTACTTGTAAACTTCAGAATCGTAGTTCTTTTACTACTATGGCATTTACTTCTTTAGCGTGCTATTCAGTTTATTATTATTATTATTACATGTATACTTGTTTGAAGGCAAGACCGACTAAATAATTTTCCTCCTTCTGGGCAGTGAAGATCATTAAACAAATTATAGTCCGTGAAGCAAGTTCTATGTTAAGCATTTAAGAGACATTTAAATTTATTAATGTTCCTCAAGGCATCGTCAGGCTCAGCTGATCAGGATAGGCTCATAGGCAAACATCAGGAATTACTTACTCCAAGCCCCTACATACATAGAACAATTATAGTTTATGATTCTCATTTGTGTTGGTTTGTTGATCTTGACCGTATCCAGATACTATCATGGTCAACGTCTTTCACCTCAAAATGGTATGGTTCAAAGCTCTCCTGTTTGGTGTTACAGTATGTTGTCAAGTATTGTAACTATTGCTTTCTTTTTAAGGGAGTCCATCATGTAACCATATCTTTAAGATTCTCACCTCCATAGAATCTGTAAGAAAATTTGTGGTGCTTCAGGTAAAGTGTTGATGAATGAATTAGTGTCCTATGTGGTTTGGTATAGATGGTAACTCATTCACAGTAGTTCAAGTCTAACATGGTCAAAATTAGTCCTCTTCTCAATGATAAATTTTGCAATTTACCTCTAATAGGAAACAAATACTGAACGTACAAAGCTATCACATTGATGATTTCTAAATACAGGTTATAAGCTTTTTGACATTATTCTCCTTAAACATGAAAATTTTCTTAGTAGATAAAATATATAACAATGAGTTGAGCTGGTCAGAATATGTGGTATTTGCTTTGGGAGTCTAAGAGACTGATATTGAAGTTTAAAGAGTAAAATGTACACTATTGATACAAAGTGTTAATATTTAAAAGAAACAATCAGTTACCTGGAAAGCTCTTCATATAATATGACTTCAGTTATAGGAAAACATGTACAGCTAGATCTCTAATATCGTGTAATAGCTAATGGAAGACCTTGCAAGCTATGCACCTGTTAATTCATATTAAACTTGCTGTTAAAAGCTAGTCTTGATTAATGAAAGCTCAAGCTTGGATCCTAGCTTGAAGTAACTAATGGAAGAAGACTTGAATTAGTCATGCTACTCCTGTTTATGACGTCATGCATAGTGGACGAGCATCTGTATGCAAATCTTTGTAACAACAAACTAATTCAAATAACACTTTACTTTGGTAAATCAGTCGGATAATATTAAATGCCTTATTATAATCTTTGTGAGATAGAAGGCTGGTGCCTTGAAAGCGGAAGGGTTGAACATTTCAATGTACTATATGTAATATATCATGCCTAATGTGATACAAACACCATGTCCTCTTTTGGCAGTAACAACCCAAACAAATGCCAAGCAACATAGCCCTAATGTTTTCATCAATTGATTTGTCTTCATCTTGCTTGCACTTGTTAGATCTCGGCCTGCAATCTTCCATATCAAATCCACGTATCTCTGTGGAAGTGTTTGTTTTTATGTTTGCAGAAGATGTCCTCTCAGAAGAAGGCACCCGTGTTTATATCAGTTTATGTGGTGAAGCCTAGGCGGTCAACTGATCGTTGGAGGCCCTACCATCACCACCACCATCACTATCACCACGTTCACCATCATCAACGTGGTGGTTATGATCGGAAGGCTGAGCTTCTTCAGTATTGCCAACGGTTGAGGACCAATGCCCACCGTGAACAAACACCTTCCACCCCCAAAACCAGCTCCAAGCTTACTTCTAACAAGGTATGGTAAATTTCAGAAAAAATAAATGTTGCAATATTTTGCCAGAAATTAACCTCGAATATTTTATTGTATATCTACATTTTTATTCTACGAAATGTATTTACAAATTGAAATATAGTGTTTGGTTAGTTGCAAAAACAGTTGGATTTACATCTTTTACTATTGGAAATGTCTTTCACTGCAAATCAAGTATTTGTTTATCCGCAATCATAAAATGATCTACAATTTCTGAGTTGGGAGCCACTAATTTGATGACGTGACATTATTTTTAAATCTTTAAATTATTGTGAGGACTTGCAGAATTTGCTGCTATCAGATCAGCTGCAACAATGTTGCAATTTTTTTACCTGTGAAATGGAAATTCGATTGCCATTGCCGACTAGCATTTGATGCTTTAGCAAAATTTGTTGTTACGGTTTACTCATTTTGCCCTATTAATGCTGCCTAATTTAGATTATTCCACTGCATCGCAACCCAAGTATTCGAAGGAACCCGACGTGCTTAGGGAATTGGAAGAGGTTGCTGATACCGGGATTCATTCTGAGACCAGGTGTTATCTTCAGAAGGAAAAAGGAGAAGAAGATGACAGTCAAGAAGATGAGTGATTCTATGGGAAACACAATGCATCTAATTGCAAAGAACATAAGGGTAATATTAATAGAGGCTGAGTTTGTCTGTATCTTTGAACTTTAAATACGTAAGGATTAATGAAAATTTTGGTATCTTGCAGGCTGAGAAGCAGCAGGGATTTGTTAAGAAGCTTCTCTCCAATTTTAGAAGACGTAAATGATCATATTGTGATTTGATGGATGAAATTGATTTGGTTATAATGTAACATGATTTGTGTGCGAGTTGCTTTATAAACTCCCGATAAAAAAATTTAGGACAATTTTTTGAAAACACCCTTTTGTAAAGTTAATGAGCAAAATCGACCTTCTCAACTACAAAAAATGCAAAATCGACCTTTTCCATCACATCTGTGATGAAAAGGGTTGATTTTGTTGTAGCATGTTTTTCGAACTACACGGGACTAGTAGTCTCGTATAGTTAAGGTAGGCTAATTCAGCGCGTCCGTGACCACTCCTTCGACTCAATCATGGACATTGAGAAGAAGACTCGCGTTGCCCTCAAACTCTAAGCCCTAATCCTCTCCCACCCCAACTCCTCCCTCCCCCTCTCCACTCTCGACTCCCTCTCCTGCCTCCGCCTCTGCCCCCCCGTCCTCTGCCGGCTCTGGGCCCACCTCACCCCTCCCGCCCTCTCCCAAATCCGACGAGAGTTTGGCGCCATCAAGTCAAATCTCGCGGACTCGGTCCTTAGATGCAAGAAGCTCCTCCTCCTAGCCACCCCGCGGTGCCATCTCCGGCTCGAGCACATTCGGGTCGCTCGGCGCAACCTTGGCTTGCCCGACGACTTCGAGCACTCGGTCATTCTGGCCCACCCCTTGGCCTTTCGTCTGATTGCCTCGGCCACGGAGGACGACTCGAGGGTCATATTCGTAGAGGCGGTCGCAAGATCTGAGGTAAGGAAAGAGGGGAGGGGAGGGTCACGGATGGGTTTAGGCTTATATATACCGGATGAGTTTAGGCTTATATATACCAAATGGACGGGACCCGTCCATTTGGTTTGACATGCTAATCTTGGATTAGCACGCCTTAACTACAAGAGACTACTCTAGTTCGAAAAAACCGTTACAGCAAATAGACCCTTTTCATCTGAGTTGTGATGAAAAAGGTCGATTTTGCTGTTTTTTTTTTTGGTGAGAATGTGGATTTTGCTCATTAATTTTGCAAAAGGGTTGTTTTCAAAATTTTGTCTAAAAAATTAACATGTCGACATTATACTGTGTGAGTAAATTAGTTAAACTAAACTTCTATTACTACTGTTGATGTTCGTAATATTTACAGTTTCTTAAGGAGGGACAATGAAGGGGATGATTATCTTCATTTATATTAATGGAGGATTCGGTGTAAGATTCCCAGGATAATTGTTATTAGATTTTGGCTCTTGGATGTACAACTAATATCAAATCATACTATCCATACTAATATGGGTGCAAAATGGATTTTATTTTATTTTATATATTTTTTTTATTTTTATTTTTTTTGCCAGTCTAGATTCAGACTTGGTCGTAGAAATACTCACAATTTTTTAGGACATTGTAGTTAATTTTTCTCAAAATTGTTAAGATTCTTGGATAACTGAATTGATAAAGACATTGTCCATTTATACTTTTGCGCTGGATTTGCTACATAATAATATTCGTTAAATAATAGGAAATTTTCCGTGTAGGCTCCAGAATAAAAAGCCTTGTGGTTTTAGGTCCCTGCACTTTCTCTGAAAATGGTTAAGATTTGTTGATAAGAGTTGGTGGAAGAATTAATTTTAGTTGAGGCTGCAGTGGCGGATTTAGGATGTTAGGAGAGTGGTGTCGCTGCCGTATGATTAACAATTAAAAAAAACTTGTGATTGTCTACACCAGTAATTTCATATCGATGTACATAATGACATCATTAACAACACTATCAAATACATCATTCTCAATATATGTTACTAATCATAGGTTCCAAATATATCACTCTCAGTATACGTCACTAATCATCGGTTCTTTAGTTCGGACCTAGAATAGAATTGCGGGATGGGTTTTTTGGTGAATAAATTTTAAAAATTTACCCTTAAGTTTGGGTGTTCCTCCGATGACCCCCTTAACTTTCAAATTGTCGCAAAACTCTCTTTAAGTTTCGGAGCTCTTAGGAAATCCCCTCCAACACTCGACATCTTTTGAAAAAAAAAAAAATCCCTTACAATTATTTTCGCATGGATGCGTAAAATTGCTCTAAAAAAATATTTTAGGCAAAGTTCAAGCTCTTTGGAGATTTTTTTTTGGAGAACAAGAAAACTTGAAGGGGTGTTTTCTATGAAACCCCAAACTTGGGAGGGGTTCGTAAAACGTATCCTTGCAAATGGGTTCTTGGTCACCCCACTTTGAGCAAGGTGGAACCGTCGGTGGGCTGAGCAAGTACAAAATTTTGTACAAGAAATTTAAATGGTATGCCCTCCGTGTTCATCATACAATGATGTCCGTGGAGAATCATGGGGTCGTGGGGCAACATAATTCCAATTGGACCCCTTACGATGACAAGATTTTTGGCTGGATTGCGTGACGACCCCATTCTCTGTACCCCGCTTGCTGCAGGAGATCGTCTACTGACGAATGTCAAACGCTATGCAAGATTTTTGCCAGCCGCGGTCGCTTGAAACCCCTGCCAGTAGCTACTCGTCCTTATAATTTTTTTTTAACATAGAAACCATCTAAACTTTTGCCCAGATTGATGGTTACCGTTTACTTTTTTTTTTTTTTTGACGAAGACCAACTAAAATTGCTTACATGCTTTCAATGTCACACCAGTCTATGTTTTTTTTTATCACATCAAAACCACCTATTTTATGTAGCTAATGTCTCATGTGTGTCTTTATGCTTGGTACATATTTTAAATTTTTGGTGGTGATTGTGATTTTCTTAACATAGAAGGTGGTTCATGTCAAAAGTTTATAAAGGTAAGGTGGTATACATATCAAGTTGTGTTTTGTATGGTGGTAACCATAAGAGAGATAAAAGTTTAGGTGGTAAGAGATATAAAAGTTTAGGTGACAACAATATAAAAAACATAGATTGGTGTGACATTGAAATCATGTAAGCAATTTTAGGTGGTTTTCGTCAAAAAAAATGTATGTGGTAACCATCAATTTGGGAAAAAGTTTAGGTGGTTTTAATGTAAAAACCCTTTTTTTCATGAGAATGAGTTACGAGTAACTTTTCCTTTCTATCCTTAATTTTTATGAAGCTTGCACAACAGAATATCATAAGTGCAACCTACATATCGTCTGCAAAAACTTCCATACCTTATTATATAGGGTTATTTGCACTGCAAAAACTTTCTTACCTTCTTATATAGGGCTATTTGCACTTATATGGCCAAAGTTTATCTCATTTTATCTTTAACATCCATAGGGTTATTTACACTTACATACCCTAACATTTTCCTTATTTTACCTTTGATACCCCCAACATTTGATTTTGCCCAAAAACTACCCTAAAGTAAAAAAAAATTAATTTTACTAACCCAAACTTAATTTTTGGGCAAATTTCACTAAACCACGAACAACTTTGAGGGTTTAGGACTTAACTTCCAAAAAATTGAAATTGTCACTTGACACCAAATAAGTTTGGAAATTCTAGAAAAACCAAAAAAAAAAAAAATACTAATTAGTTTATAATTACATTTAATCCTCTTAAATTAAATTAGAGTGAAAAAGAAAGGGGGATGAGGTTGCTGGGTGTAGGGTGGTGGTGCTCGCTGATGATGGAGGCGACGGTTCTTACCAGCTAGACGCCCTGACGACGGTGGTGGTGTAACGTAAGTGAATGAGAATTTTAGTAAGTAATCTCTTGCACAGATAATGTAGTACAATAGAACTTCTATCGTAGGTTTTAATTATAAAATATATAAAAATGTTACTTAAATACTCCAAAGTTTATCTCATTTTCACTTTTGAAGTCCCAAAGTATTCTTTTTCAAGAAAACGCCCCGAAATTCAACAGAAGTTACTCTAATACCCTAAACTTTAACAAACATTTTAACTTTGATATCCTAAACTTTGCGCTACTTTTTGTTTTCATGAATTTGTTAGGGATTTCGCAATTTTACGTCGGAAAAAGTAGGGTGATACTTGATACCTTTAAAATTCTAAATTTTTCTCAAAGACATTGCTAAATCGCTATTTCCAAGCTAAGATATTGAGACGTTGTTGTTGTGCGCGGCGGAAGCTTTCTAGGGCAACACGAACAATAACTAGAACTAAACCACAAACAATATGCAAACCACAATCACAGCAAGAACACACAATTTACGTGGTTCGGCAAGTTGCCTACGTCCACGGGGCAAGGAGGGGTGAGTTCTTCCACTAGAAATCAAGAGAATACAAATATGGTTACAAATCTCTCAGACCAAACCCTAAAACAAAGCTCTAGATCTCTCAAAGCTCTCTCACAACTTGATGCAATGATTCTCTCTCTTTGGCTGCTCAAATTCGTTCAACCTCTACCCTAAACAAACAGGTTTAGGTATATATAGAACTTACAAAACGAATCGGGTCAAAAACCTGAAAGCCCAGTCCAAAACAGCGTCGGTCGACCGGACCGGTCGACCGCGATCAATTCCGGTCGACCGGCCCGGTCGACCGATCACCATCCAGCAGAAGCCCCAAAAATCCAGAGAGCCGTCGGTCGTCCGCACCGGTCGACCGAAACATCTGCGGTCGACCGGGCCGGTCGACCGACCTCCTTCCAGACGCACAGGAACCCTTGTGCACGAATCCGGTCGACCGGACCGGTCGACCGCCGCCTGTTTTTCCTGATTCTGCTGCTGATGCTGAAATTCCTTCATTAAACCCTTCTCTAGTATTAGTGTGTAAAGCCTAAAACGAAATATGCATATTTTCTCCACCTACAAGAGCTTACACCATCAATTTAACAAAAATATTGAGACTGGTATAACATCATCAAATCATAAGTGATAATTAACCAGCTTCTTAATGTGGTGAAAGCTAAATCGTTTAGGAGAGTATCAAAATAATCAACAATGGATAAGAAACAATACACTTTATGAAGAAGGTAGAAACAAATCAGATAATGACTCACATAAGTGATCATTTTACATCTGCGAAATAGTTAAATACATTCTCGAATAAATTCAGCAACGGTCGACCGGACCGGTCGACCGCCGCCTGTTTTTCCTGATTCTGCTGCTGATGCTGAAATTCCTTCAATTCTCCACCTCGGCGAATGTTTCCACCAAAACTGAGCCGACACCAAACCATCCAAT